AACTGACTTTAAAAGTCCAATTTCCAACCTTGCCGAACTAGGCTGGTATTATGGAGTTACATTTTGGCTGGACTAACGAGTCTATGCATAGTCCAATCAAAATCGTGCATCGAAATCTGGTTCGTAAAGTGTCATGCAGATTTCGGTCGACTGCAGGATTTGAAAAGCATGTGCACCGCTAACTCGTTGTCAACAGATATTTTCTAAATCTTTTCATGCTTTTAATCAAGGTGCTCATGTGATTTGATGCACTTCGCGATATAAGACTCGTTTTATCACAATATAGATCTTGATTATCGATCAGATCGTCTTGACTGGGCGCCACCGTTTTGTTTGAAGCAAATGCAAGTGATACGAGAGGTTGAATCTGATTGGTCAATAGGAGAGGCAGAGAAAGGACATAACTCGTAATAGCCACTGGTGGCGCTACGATCGAGCCCAGGAATTCCAGCCTAGTTCGGCAAGGGTGGCACCTGGACTTTTAAAGTCAGTTAACTCTCTTGCCTTGGGAATATGACTCCCGTGCCTCGAGAAGTTCCTCAAGCAGATATGCCACTTTCTACATACTGAAACTTACGCCATGCAATTGTTTGGTAGAAATGCTTGTAACATAATATTTAAGCATCATGTTAAGAATCATCTCCGCTTTAAATTGTAGGAAATAATTGCAAACTACTGAGGATGACTTGTCACGGAGCTGTGCTCCAATGATCAGGGGTGTCATACAATAAGAATAAAGTGAAAAAAACCTGTGGTAACAGGTTCACCGGTTTATGAAATAACTACTAATTGTACCAATAGTTGACAATTACAAATAAATACAATCAGATCACAAATTAATTCTATCAGCTGAGTCAATTAACACCACACTCTAGTGAGTGAATAACCTTGACAGAAGGAAATAAACACTGAGAGCGTATCCATAAAGTGAATCACTTAAGACTACAAAATAGACGATTACGTCTCAATATGAACTAGTCTTAATCGATTAAAGTTCCTGTCACTTTGACTGAACAAGGAAATAGTAAAGTTCCCATGTAGTTAGTTAATCACAGGAAGGTTGGTTATCCACGGATTGCTAGAAATACACAGCATTACAAACCCTAGCAACTAGGGTTAGTTCAGTACCAACCACACTAAGTCAGAATCTAGATCCACACTGCCCGAATCCACCGCCTGACAAAACCATAGTTTCAAGCGTGACCACTCCAGTAGTGAGACAATCGCAAATTATTTTACATTGTCATTTATGCTCACATCATGCACATGCATTTCAAAAACATTTTTTCTCATTTATTGTTGATTAGTGCTTTGTGCTTTGTGTTTATGTGTGTATCAGTGAATGTATTTAACGTAAGTTCCTGTCCCTGTTACTTGTACCTCCATTCTTAATGATGTAACACAGATTTCTTTCGGGATAATTAAGTACCATCGTATCTTGTATCCTTACTTGAAACATGAAAACATCTACTTAATTAGGGAACTCTTTTCGTAGAGTGTGGGATTTGGCACAGGATGTTTAAGGGGCATAATAACCACTACTCATTATTGTTCGTGGGGTTTTCTCTACTTGCTAAGGGAAGACAGAACTGTCAGACTTCACTTCACAATGTGCTTATTTACCAGTTCTGCAGTAAAACTTCTCATTATCCGTTTATTAGAGGTGTAACAATACAGAATGACACAATACAATATGTATCTTGATACACGGGCCATGATACAAAGCGTATTCAGATTTACAAATCTCAGAGCAAGATATTCATCAATTTCATTAAAATCAGATCTTAGTACTTGCTACCGCTAAACAAAGATCTGAGGACATCCCATTACAGGTCACGTCAGACTGACCTTGCGCAAACTTTGACCGACCAATGGAATGACCAATCAGAAGGCAGCATTCTTCTGATTTACGGCACTAATTTCAAATTGGCAAACTACGCTTCGAAACATAGAGAAATTCTCAATTACAAATTTGAAACCTAAACAAAAGAACATTCTGGAATGGCTAATAGATGGTCTAGATTGTATGGATTCAGTCGTTAAACCCGTAACTATCGTTCAGAATACCCAGTGTTAAAGTTTTCGAAATTGCATGATTAGAAATCACATTCTGACTGTCACTTTCATGATCTGGTAAGCGACGTTCTGACTGGTCGGATGAAAGGTCGTTCTGACGTGACCCCTAATGGGATATCTTCATATCTGTTTAGCGATAGCGAGAACTAAGGTCTGATTTTAATGACATTGGATATCTATGATACCAGTGTCGGTATTAACAGACCCTTCCACGGAAAGGAATCACAAGCATGCATGTGCAAGCAAAATTACAGTCATTGTTCCATGAAGATTCTGCTAAAACTCACAAAGTGAAAAAGACATGGACATGGGTCGATCGAAAAATTCAACTTCATAAATAGTTTTTCCCAACTTTCACTTGCACGATTTTTCGTAACTCCTTCCCATGGGAGTGGAATGGTATGCCCATTGATACAAACACTGATATTTGATGAGAATATTGATTTGTTTATCAGATGTGAAGATTGTAGGGTTAAAAGTAGGTCTTCCGTTTGACTATAGCTGACATGTTTACACGGCATACCTTTAGAATACAGCACCATAACCCGTGAGTTCTACGTCTGACGCCTGAAGCTGTTTTCAGTTTGCACTATATTGGCTCATTCCTCGCCACTCTGGTGGCTGTACCTTCAAAGGGGATTGAAGTAACGTTAAATATTTGTCCCCCGAGAGGGTACACAAGTCCCAATTCATTCAAAGTATTTTTTCTTTTTCCATGGTTTTAATTATACAATAATTGTAGGTTTTAAATGTTTTGGCTTAAACTTTCTAACAATGGTTGCTGGTGATCCATACCCCATTTTGTTATTAATACTGTATTCGACGCAACAAGCGCTCCGCTCTAATAAACGCCCACGGCAATATTTGCTAATATATTGGACAGTGAACTATCCCAATTAGCACCCCTTCCGATTGATCAGTGTACACAAGACTTATTTATTCGTGCATAATACGTACTCATGTGTTATATGCACCCTTAATTATAAGGGCAATTAAATTCTGGAAAATACATCTGTCATGTATGATACACACATACTTTTCTTTTGTATCATTTCAGGCTGTCAGCATAAACCACAGCGTTTACGATCTTTCAACTCTGGGTTTTTTTCTCACCAAAATCATATTCAAATAAGAGCCCCCTTTTTCTAATTTTGAGAGCGCACCGGGCGCTTATTATGTTGAATACAGTAGTCACATTTGTATGGGTATATAATAGTTTTAAATCTATACCTGTGATAATCTAGTGCTTTTACTGACCCTTGTCGACAGATTTTATAGTCTTTGATTATGTATTATTACTGTACAACTTGATATACCGTATTCGACGTAATAAGCGCCCCGCTCTAATAAGCGCCCACGGCGGCATTTGCTAATATATTGGCTAGTGAACAATCCCAATTAGCACCCCTTCCGATTGATCAATGTACACAAGACTTATTTATTCGCGTATAATACGCACTCGTGTGTTATATGCACCCTTAATTATGGGCAATTAAATTCTGGAAAAATATACCTGTCGTACATAAACACTTCAGGCTGTCAGCATAAACCACAAAAATTTATCTTTCAACTCTGTTTTTTTCACCAAAATAATATTCTAATAAGAGCCACCTATTTCTAATTTCGAGAGCGCCCTAGGCGCTTATTACGTAGAATACGGTAGTCACAATATGGCAGAAATATTGCCGATGTGACTCACTCACACACTCCTCACCACTCAGAAACTTGTAGATTACGGAATGGGGCGAATGTGCCAGATAGCATCGGGATCACCTGTAAGTGTCCGTAGACTAAATTCCCAAAAGACCATGCCTATCCGTAACCTTCGTAAGTGTATGTCACCTGCTCGACCCTTTTCTTTTAGTTCAGTTCTGTAACAGTGTAAGCAAGACTAGGTAAATTTGCACTTTATTTTACAGTGTGGACGTACCCCACTCAGTTAGATGTGGGGCTAACAACCGAAGGTCACAAGTTCTCGTCCGACGGATTCTCCCAAAAACTGGTTGGTTGTCTCTGAGACGCATGACCTGTGCAGAGATCATCCTCACGAGAAGTTGTGGTATTGTATTCTAAAGGTGCTCTGTTTACACGGCACCACAGAAGCAGCTTGTATAGACTGACATATAGGCTGGTCTATGAAGTCTTATATTACACAATACACTTCTCTCCCCTAAAATTAAAACAAATAATTCTTCAGATGCTGATTTAGAGCTGAATAGACTTGCTTTTGCATATATATCCAGTTTGGTTTTGTTTTTATGAAATAAATATAGGCCTATTCCACAGTCCTGGTGCAGGACTACAGAACCGCAAGATAATAGTAAATCATCATAGCAAAGTAGGCCTACCACAACTGATAATTCTAAACAATAAAATATGGCCTAAAGATGTTGTTGAAATGCATGTTCCTTGAGCAACTGTAAAATCATCAAATCATAACTTGGCTGCACTTGGCACTGCTAGGTCTACTACTGGGTCTCTAAGTTGTAGAACTGACTACGAATTACAAGATTCACTTCAGCCGTTCATGTCGAGAAAACTAGCCCCAGACACCGGATCGAGACGGAACAGCCGTGAATGAAGAACATACGTGACAGTGTCGCTATCTTACTCATCCCTACACGACTATCACTGTTCAAAGTGACTAGGTGGACTTGAAATAGTCTTAACCACAAGGAAAAGTGTCAAAAAGTGTCAAATTCATGCATTACCTTGTATTAAAACTGGAAGCGGCTTGATGAAATTTCTAAACTTCCGGTATACAAGTAAAGCTGTGTGGATTATTTTCGTAGTTAACCGCTTGTTCATTACATTTTGCACATGTTATTTTTTCAGATAATAATTCAACTTGTGTCATATTCTCAACTTATTTCAATGTATTATCGAAACAAGAAATAATCAGCTGTAACGTTGAAGGTGAAGGCTGTATTTGTTTTGAGGGTGAAGGTCATATGAACGCACCACATGTTGCAATGAGAACGCAAAAGACCCGAGGAACTCTTGATTTACATTGTTGACACTGACTTGTTGAAACCGATTTACAAAATCGTATGGAGACATATTCTTAGCATTATTCATCCTGAAGCTGAGCAGCTAGTCGCCTAGCGACGTGTGGAGATACAGGATTTTACAGTCAGGTGGATGATAATATTCTCTGCGCATGAGTGTGTTTACGGGATGTGTTATCTGATGGAACACCTGCTTCAGGTGGTACCATGGACCCTATATATGGTATTAAGTGTCTATGGTGTTATCTGCTGGTTGTTCACAATAATCCAGAATAAATAGTCAAATAGTAGCAGATGCTATGGAAAGTCTTCATTCGTTCGTATCAATTTAGCGTTCCAAAAGTTAGAGAGGACCTAATCCTGTGATTGATATCATGAGCAACAATCCACTCTGTTGGGGTATCGACTTTGACACACACACCCCTCGGACCCCTTAGTTTTCGGAACAGATGTGCCTGAAACGTCTAACTGTGTTGCAGGACTCAATTTAAGGAACGTGATTTAGCTTGTATCAGGTGGATATTGCCATGAAAACCAAGTTGCTCCGAACAAATCCAGGTTGCACCCTGTTCACACTAATTTTTCAAAGTTGAAACATAGGCTCGTCTGCTGCCAGCGTCACTTAAATTAATGACGCATTGCTGTAAAACATGAATGTAAATAGCACGTGCACATAATCGTTAAGTACCCACAGTTCGATGACATCAAGCCCAAGAAAGTATGACAAATTACACATAACACAGGGACTATATCAATCACATTTTGTTTTTTTAGAGGTATTGTGTGTGTTCAAAGATTGAATTTGTGTGTGGAAAGTAAGGGTTAGAATTTGTTTAGACATGCACTTAGTGTCTGCGGACATTATTTAGGTTGCATTTTGTCAATTATAGGAGCATGTTCAAAAGAGCTAAATGGAGCCTTGGGTTGTTTCAGGTTTGTAGAAGAAGGCTGGGTCTGTGTCAGTATGACAGATGGTCGTAAGACGAGGTGTTTTGAGACGGACCTACAGTTTTGTCCTGACTGTGGTACAGTCCTTCCTAATCCCAACAAGAAGGACCAAAATGTTGCCTGCGCAAGATGCAACTTCAAAATACCAATTTCTGGTGAGTGCACAGCCAAGCCTTTGATTCCACAAGAGATTTTGACACATGGATCTTATTTAGGCCAATGTGAAAACTATTTTCTGACTGTGAATCAGCATTTTCAACAAACTTTTAAAGGTACAGTCTGTTTTTCTACTAATCCTTATGATACCTTAACTTTGGGGCAGTTTGGCAAGTGATACCTTGGCAAATGATACCTTAACTTTGGGGCAGTTCTAATGCAGCCTACACATCTAGGCCCACCCATGCCCACAATGACCCATGCCTACGCCCACCCACCCACGCCGACCCCAACCAATGCCTTACCCCACCAACCTGTGCCTACGCCCACCCATTAACGCCCACAATGACCAATGCCTATGCCCACCCACCCACCCACGCCCACAACAACCCATGCCTTACCCCACCAACCCATGCCTACGCCCACCCATTATCGCCCACAACGACCCATGCCTACGCTCATCCACCCATGCCTATGTCCACCCATGCCCAACAAACCATGCCTACGCCCATCCACCCACGCCCACAACAACCCATGTCTACGCCCACAACCCATGCCTACACCCACAACGACCTATGATTATGCCCACCCACCCATGCCCACAACAACCCATGCCTAAGCCCACGACCCATGCCTACGCCCACCCACCAATGCTCACAACCCATGCCTACGCCCACAACGACCCATGCCTACGTTCACCCACCCATGCTCACAACAACCCATGCCTACGCCCACCCACCCTTGCCCACAACGACCCATGCCTTTGCCCACCCACGCCCACAACAACCCATGTCTACACCCACCCACCAACGCCCACAACCCATGCCTACGCCCACAACGACCCATGCTTATGCCCACCCACCCATGCCCACAACAACCCATGCCTACGCCCACGACCCATGCCTACACCCACCCACCAATGCTCACAACCCATGCCTACGCCCACAACGACCAATGGCTACGTTCACCCACCCATGCTCACAACAACCCATGCCTACACCCACAACGACCAATGCTTATGCCCACCCACCCATGCCCACAACAACCCATGCCTACGCCCACGACCCATGCCTACACCCACCCACCAATGCTCACAACAACCCATGCCTACGCCCACGACCCATGCCTACACCCACCCACCCACGCCCACAACAACCCATGTCTACGCCCACCCACCAACGCCCACAACCCATGCCTACGCCCACGACGACCCATGCTTATGCCCACCCACCCATGCCCACAACAACCCATGCCTACGCCCACGACCCATGTTTACGCCCACAACGACCCATGCCTACGGTCACCCACCCTTGCTCACAACAACCCATGCCTACGCCCACAACGACCAATGCCTATGCCCACCCGCCCATGCCCACAACCCATTCCTACGCCCACCCGCCCATGCCCACAACAACCCATGTCTACACCCACCCATGCCTATGTCTACCCACAAAAGCCCAGTAACAACCCATGCCTACGCCCATCCACCCACGCCCACAACCATGCCTACGCCCACAACGACCCATGTCTACGCCCACACGCCCAAAACCCATGCCTATGCCCACAACGACCCATGCTTACGCCCACCCACCCACGCACACAACAACCTATGTCTACGCCCACCCACCTATGCCCACAACCCATGCCTACGCCCACAACGACCCATGCTTACGCCCACCCACCCACAATGACCCATGCCTACGTCCACCCACCAACGTCCACAACAACCCATGCCTAAGCCCACCCGCCAACACCCAACAAAGCTTTGCCAGACATGCAGTGTGATCTGTCTTTCTCTACTACAGCTTTTGACGGCATAGAGATCCACTCCACGCTGACAGTCAACAAACCACTGGGCAAAGCATCATCGACCTTGACCTCTGAGGATGCAGCAGGACCAACGGTATGTAGTCATGGTGATGTGGTCCTATGCACAGCGTGCATTTATCTCAAAGGACCAGAGGCAGGGTATGAAACTCCCAAAAATTTCAGCCAGACCACAGGACTGGCTAGCTGAAATACTTGCCAGCCCTGACCAAAACCTGCCTGCCCACTATAATCATATGTTTCTCAGGATAAGCTAACGGGGTTTCTTTTTGGTTACATTTTATCATTCATCTTTACATGTGAATTAATGCTTATCATCGGGAAATATTTAGCACTGTAATAGGAGAGAGTGAGTATGGTTTTACGCCGCTTTTAGCAATATTCCAGCAATATCACGGCGGGGGACACCAGAAATTGGCTTCACACATTGTACCCATGTCGGGAATCGAACCTGGGTCTTAGGCGTGATGAGTGAAGGCTTTAACCACTAGGCTACCCGACCGCCCCCACTGTAATAGGACCCACATTGGAGCTTATGTTCTAGTGTTGTAGTTGTCCAATGAAAAACATACCGATCTTCTCAGACACAAAAGGTCAAGGAATATGAAACAATGATATGTGTCAAGCAGTGTGATAGGATCAAGACTCGTTCATGCCTCTAATTTAGTAAAACTTTGAAAATCTTTAAGAAACGTTACAAAAATGTCAATTGTAAATTTCGGAAATTTTGTAGACTTAATTCTATTTTCATCAGTTATGCAAAATGTTTAACTTTAAGCATCATCTCTGAGAAACTGAACGGCTGAGTAAGATGATGGGTTAGCAGTCAAATGGAACACATTGCAGTCACTCTCCTTACTTGATGGCTAATGTGTTCTGCTGACATAACATCCGCCTCACTTTCATTCCCTTGTGAGTAATATTGCTTTGATGCAGATTAAGTTTTGTCTAGAGCGGCATTGACTGGAAGGGGTCCTGTTTGTTATGCAGGTGGATCGGACATGTTCAAAGTGTGGTCATGAGGGCATGACATACTCCACTCGGCAGACACGATCAGCTGATGAAGGTCAGACGGTCTTCTTTGGCTGCCCCAACTGCAAGTAAGTCTAAGACCATGAGTGAGTGAGTGAGTGAGTGATGTGCCCGAGTGATGTGCCCCAACTGCAAGTAAGTCTAAGACCATGAGTGAGTGAGTGAGTGATGTGCCCAAGTGATGTGCCCCAACTGCAAGTAAGTCTAAGACCATGAGTGAGTGAGTGAGTGATGTGCCCAAGTGATGTGCCCCAACTGCAAGTAAGTCTAAGACCGTGAGTGAGTGAGTGAGTGATGTGCCCGAGTGATGTGCCCCAACTGCAAGTAAGTCTAAGACCGTGAGTGAGTGAGTGAGTGATGTGCCCGAGTGATGTGCCCCAACTGCAAGTAAGTCTAAGACCATGAGTGAGTGAGTGAGTGATGTGCCCGAGTGATGTGCCCCAACTGCCAGTAAGTCTAAGACCATGAGTGAGTGAGTGAGTGATGTGCCCGAGTGATGTGCCCCAACTGCAAGTAAGTCTAAGACCATGAGTGAGTGAGTGAGTGAGTGATGTGCCCGAGTGATGTGCCCAAACTGCAAGTAAGTCTAAGACGGTGAGTGAGTGAGTGAGTGATGTGCCCGAGTGATGTGCCCCAACTGCAAGTAAGTCTAAGACCATGAGTGAGTGAGTGATGTGCCCGAGTGATGTGCCCCAACTGCAAGTAAGTCTAAGACCATGAGTGAGTGAGTGATGTGCCCGAGTGATGTGCCCCAACTGCAAGTAAGTCTAAGACCATGAGTGAGTGAGTGAGTGATGTGCCCGAGTGATGTGCCCAAACTGCAAGTAAGTCTAAGACGGTGAGTGAGTGAGTGATGTGCCCGAGTGATGTGCCCCAACTGCAAGTAAGTCTAAGACCATGAGTGAGTGAGTGAGTGAGTGATGTGCCCGAGTGATGTGCCCCAACTGCAAGTAAGTCTAAGACGGTGAGTGAGTAGGGTTTTACTCTGCTTCCAGCAATATTGCAGCAATATTGTGGTGGGGGACATCAGGAACAGGCTTCACATGTTGTACTCTGAGAATCCAAGACCGACCTTCGGTCTGGTTAGCACTGTTTGCCCCCAAACAAAACAGGTACAGCCTTTTCATGTTGTTTCTTTGTTGGTTAACACTGCACTCAGCAATATTTCAGCTATATGACATAAGTCTGTAAAGAATCAAGTCTGGACCAGACAATCCAGTGATTTATATCATAAGCATCAATCCACGCAATTGGAATACGATGACATGCATCAAGTCAGCGAGCATGACAATCTGATCCTGTTAATTGCCTCTTACGACAAGCAGTCGCCTTTTACCACAAGAATGGGTTGCTGAAGGCCTATTCTACCCCGGATCTTCACGGGTTGATTTTTCATGAGTGACACACTACCCATCTTGATTGTGTTGGTAGACCTGTGAAGATCCGGGGTAGAATAGGTCTTCAGCAACCCAGCTTATGATATCAATCACTGGATTGTCTGGTCCAGGCGGTCCGGATCTTCACGGGTTGATTTTTCATGAGTGACACACTACCCATCTTGATTGTGTTGGTAGACCTGTTAAAGATCCGGGGTAGAATAGGTCTTCAGCAACCCATTCTTGCCGTAAAAGGCGACTGCTTGTCGTAAGAGGCGACTAATGGGATCGGGTGGTCAGGCTCGCTGACTTGATTGATGCATGTCATCGATCCCAATTGCGTGGATCGATGCTTATGATATCAATCACTGGATTGTCTGGTCCAGGCGGTCCGGATCTTCACGGGTTGATTTTTCATGAGTGACACACTACCCATCTTGATTGTGTTGGTAGACCTGTGAAGATCCGGGGTAGAATAGGTCTTCAGCAACCCATTCTTGCCGTAAAAGGCGACTGCTTGTCGTAAGAGGCGACTAATGGGATCGGGTGGTCAGGCTCGCTGACTTGATTGATGCATGTCATCGATCCCAATTGCGTGGATCGATGCTTATGATATCAATCACTGGATTGTCTGGTCCAGACTCGATTATTTACAGACTGCTGTCATATAGCTAGAATATTGCTGAGTGTCGCCAACCAATTATGTGTTGGTAAAATACTCCTGCAGTATGTTGTTGTGGTCAGTTGCCAGTGCCATCATCCTGGGGGGTTTCTTGAGGCAGATCAAGGCCCCTGCTTGTGTTGGGGTCACAGGTGGCCTACATGGTCTATGAAAATGCAATTCACTGTGTAGAGTTGTGCCCCATATCTGTACCAGGATCTGCTAGTCATGGAAAAAAATCCAAAATTCACCTAGTTCATCATCCTCTTCTTGTGTAAACTCTGTGGCCCTCCTGAAATTGAAGATTGGGGGTAGAATAGGTCTTCAGCAACCCATGCTTGCCATAAAAGGCGACTATGCTTGCCGTAAAAGGCGACTAACGGGATCGGATTGTCTGGTCTAGACTCGATTATTTCCAGACCGCCGTCATATAGATGGAATATTGCTGAGCGCGGCGTAAAACAACAAACCAACCAACCAACCTGAAATTGAATATCTGCTTTCTTTTCAGGAACCAGGAAATTGAATATTCATGATGTGGGTGTTTATGTGTGGTCTAGATCAGCTTCCTCACACGTCTGTATACAATGAACAATGGTGATGATGGCTTCCTGGTGTTTAACGATGGCAACTTTCATAATGGTCAAGGCAAGAGTGTCCAGAGTTCAAGTCACAGTGTGTGAATGTCATTTTTCGCCAATTTATACAATATTACAGCTATATCATAGCAACCTGTAAATACTCAGGTCTGAACATGAAAGCTTGCATGCAATGTGAACGAATGTTGTTTCATGGCAAAGCCAGTAATATTTCTGCTATATCATGACAAGCTGTATATAATCAAGTCGGGGTCAAGCAAACCAGTGGTTGACATCATGAGCAACAATCCAGGCATATAGATACAACGGCATGGGATCAGCCAGGTCACACACATTGTGACCACCAAACTGTTATATTTGACAATGCTTGCGACAGTGTGGACTGAGTTTGCTCTAGACTCCCCACAGGGACATAACACAATCTCTGCCTACAACAGGGGCGGTCGGGTAGCCTAGTGGTTAGAGCGTTCGATCGTTACGCCGAAGACCCAGGTTCGATTCCCGACATGGGTACAATGTGTGAAGCCCATTTCTGGTGTCCCCCGCCGTGATATTGCTGGAATATTGCTAAAAGCGGCGTAAAACCAAACTCACTCACTCACTCTGCCTACAACATTCATGTCAGTACATGTCTCCCAGTCTGCTGACTGGCATTATTGATGAGTGCTGACAGTTCCTGACTTGTGGTTCAAATTCCTGGAAATAAACACAAATCCAGAGTCGGTTGTTTGTTTTTATTGTTTTCAGGAGAACACCCAGAATAGAGATCTATCCTTCACTGTAATAAATATAGCACTTACACAAAATAAATTACATATAAATTATGTTGAATATGACATGCATTTCCAATTTATGACAACATGAGAATGAAAATGAAACAGTAAAAATACATATCTAATGTAAGTGTTATGAAGGGCATGTCAAGCCTATGTCAAAACCAATTCTTCTCACCATCCAGACAGGGGCGGTCGGGTAGCCTAGTGGTTAGAGCGTTCGATCGTTACGCCGAAGACCCAGGTTCGATTCCCGACATGGGTACAATGTGTGAAGCCCATTTCTGGTGTCCCCCGCCGTGATATTGCTGGAATATTGCTAAAAGCGGCGTAAAACCAAACTCACTCACTCACTCTGCCTACAACATTCATGTCAGTACATGTCTCCCAGTCTGCTGACTGGCATTATTGATGAGTGCTGACAGCTCCTGACTTGTGGTTCAAATTCCTGGAAATAAACACAAATCCAGAGTCGGTTGTTTGTTTTTATTGTTTTCAGGAGAACACCCAGAATAGAGATCTATCCTTCACTGTAATAAATATAGCACTTACACAAAATAAATTACATATAAATTATGTTGAATATGACATGCATTTCCAATTTATGACAACATGAGAATGAAAATGAAACAGTAAAAATACATATCTAATGTAAGTGTTATGAAGGGCATGTCAAGCCTATGTCAAAACCAATTCTTCTCACCATCCAGACGGGCGGTCGGGTAGCCTAGTGGTTAAAGTGGTCGATCGTCACGCCGAAGACCCGGGTTCGATTCCTGACATGGGTACAATGTGTGAAGCCCATTTCTGGTGTCCCCCGCCATGATATTGCTGGAATATTGCTAAAAGCGGCGTAAAACCATACTCACTCACTCAGTTAGTCTGAATTGAGAAAGCAGTCATGTATAATGTGGTGTGCACAAAGCTACTATCTTGTCAACTTTCGTAGACGAAACCACTGGCCCTGCCACATCAGTTTAACGACCTGTATGTCGAACTGCTTTCTTCTAACTATCAGCCTTGATTTTGTTTGTGTGTAATATAAAGCTGGGATGAGAACCTCGTCCATGTGTTTTGAAGACTGCTCAACTGGTACAATACACTACTGGACAAGTAGATTTGGAATTTAGTGATCAAAGTACAAATAAAGTTAATTGGACCTAAATGAATTTGATAAATATGATATTTTGAAAGTATATCTTTCTCTCAATTGGGTATTATTATTCATATCAAAGATAAGTCAACCTAAGTTTTGAACATTTTGATTTATAATTGAAAAACATACTTCCAAATCTACCTTGATATGAGAACAATCGGTCAAATCCTTACAGGTAGATTTGAGCGCTTACTTGTTGATTTTCCACACCAACGAGAATTGATGAGCACTGGAGAAATATTTCATTGAAAGTAATGTTTGTAAGTTCCTCATTCAGGATTGACAATCTCTTGCTGTGGGGGTACAGACAGGACGGAACTTACACTTCCACATTGGTAAAGTCAGGGACAAGGTTGCAACGCACATTGTTATAAATATAAATTCTCTATAAATAAATGCTTGTAATGACAGCTGGCTGCACTGAGACAGAGGATATGCTTCCAATAATTATGCAAGTAAAAATACTGAGTATACATCTACGGTGTAAAATCTAAAAGTACAGAAATATGAAAAATTTAAAATGTGTTTTCATATTAATGATCAAAATGTCCGCTGCCATACAATTGCTATGTATTTACAGTGAAACACAGCTCCGAAACCTTGGAACCTCAATAAATGTATTTAAATTAAAAAAGTATTTGGTATCCTACAATTGTCAGTCTGACACATACTCTCAGGTAAACACAATATACAAATAGATCTGTTGAAACAGTTTCCATGGTTACAAGATTTGTACATCTAACTTGTTGACATGGCCTAGAAACAAGCAAGCAACAACATACTTGCCATGTCTGCTTTAAAAATGAGTTACATGAATTTGCTTTACAATACATCACTAAAAGTTTTAGGAACGAAGTCTCTGTCATAAAGTGTCAAGTTAAAGATTTAGTGGGTCCCTAGACCTCTAATAAACAGCAACAAAACTCAATGACTCCAAGATGGCCGACATTGCTGCAGATGCACATTCTGTTTATCAGCTACATCCCAGAAGACTGTAAAAAAGTAAAGTCAAACCAGACACTGTCCCACGTACAACAATCATAATTCTAAAATCTTAACACTATACTGACTGTTACACCAAATGTTGAAGTAGTGCACTGATGTAGGCTCACGTTCAAGCATATCCACTATGGTAATTGAATATTGTCACTGGACACACAAAATGATTACTTCATTTGTCCTGTCAGTGGATGATTTGCTTCTTCTTTAGATACTCACAATAGTCCAGCCACATGATGGCAGTCTGTAAATAATCGAGTCTGGACCAGACAATCCAGTGATTGACATCATGAACCAGTGTTCGAAATACCTGCCTGCCCGACCGTACGAGACGGGTTGATTTCAACTCGGGCTGCCAGATTTTCAAATTCCCCTGCCCGACGGTCGGGTTATATTTCATATGTGAAAATATTCTAAATATTTCCCGATGATAAGCATTAATTCACATGTAAAGATGAATGATAAAATGTAACCAAAAAGAAATCCCATTAGCTTATCCTGAGAAACATATGATTATAGTGGGCAGGCGGGTTTTGGTCAGGGCTGGCAAGTATTTCAGGTAGCCAGTCCTGTGATCTGGCTGAAATTTTTGGGAGTTTCATACCCTGCATGAACATCAAACTATGAAATCGGTGAGCCTGACCCCCGATCCCAACTTAAAACTGATTATCAATAAGAACATATGCTGTGGATTTGAGCTAAACCTTAACAAGGTCCTTCAACAAACATAATCTAATTTTCACATCTGATAATATTCTAATTGTTTCAAAACATATTCACAGAAATGACTGAATTGAAGACTTGTAGCTGCATTGGTCTGGTCTGATTAAGTCTGAATCACAATGCTCACAATGTTGTAAATTAAATTAGATAATCACATGCTATACATTTTTAAAAAATGAGAATATTTAAAAATCTGTACAAATGTAATTAAAATGGCACCTGACATAAACAACATATCTGAAACAAGTGACGGATTAACATGTGCAGGACAATAGGTTCCTTGTTGTCACAATCATACCTTTAACCCTAAAAATTACTTTTTACTCGGATAAAGAAAAAGTAAAAGATTACTGGAAGTAATGTTTCCACTCATAACATATGTAACAATTATAATGATTTGTAGTTATAGTAACACAACATTGGATATTTTCAATGAAGTAATGTCCAGAATTATTTAGCATTATGTCGTCCAGGCTACTTCTGCCCCTTAATTTGTGATTGCAGAATCCACGAGGGACGGCTATTTATTTAAGCTTGTAATATGCAGTATGGGATTGGTAGAAGACAAATACTATAAACCAAGCTATTGAATCAAACCAATAGCCATGATTCTATACCTCTCTCCATCACGATCTGACAAACCATTATGTCTGAACTGTCTACTTGGCCAATCAGCGTATGGGATTTCTGTCTTGAAAACAAATATAACATGGGCAGTCCTTAATGAAAATAATAATTAATTATGGATATTTTACACCCTGTTGTTTCAGTCGCATCATTCAAACAGACATGAGATCTAGATCTGTCGTTTTTTTCCTCTAGCTTCAAACATGAGTAGCAAGAGTCATCAGGAGATGACATATCCCCTCGGTCTGGTGCAATTCGGAAATGGAATTTGGCTACTTATACCCCACTTTTGGTTCACTGCCACTGGATACCTTTGGGGAAGAAAAAATATAGTGCTGTTCATTGTTATTAAAAATCCCCAATCATCAAAGCACACAAGTTCACCACCAGACTGATCTATATAGTAACTTCCAACAAGAAATATTTGTTTCGAGTTCTGCTCTGGAAATGGAAAACAAATTGTTTAAATCGTGAAAACAAAACGATAAAAAGACTGATGTACATGGAAAGTTTTAACAAGAAATATATAATGGTTTTGGAGTTATGCTCTGAAAACGGATGGTCGGATGGACATGCCCTGTTCATGGGCGCCATTTTGACAAGGAACCATTAAAATGTGATTGACCCAAGAACCTTGATTGGGTGTGAGACTTAGCTCAGTGTCCACCTGACATGACTTCTTGTGCTGGGTTGGACAGGTCGTGAGGAGAGAGGTATCAAATCTGAGTAAACAACCTGATTGTATTAACATGATTAAGATTGAAAACCTTCCAGGGCTGCAGTTCTATGGAAACAGCTGGTGTCACACAAGGCAGTGTGTTATAACATGAACAATTCATGAACATTTCATGAACATTCTGCTGGAAGTAAACATTTTGAGGTGATGCTTTTACACATAGGTTTAACCACAGGAGTCTGTATCTAATAATAGACGCCCTCATGCATATTCATTAACATCTCCGGGCTCGCGTGTGGAGATGGTCATGAATATGCATGAGGGCGTCTATTTTTAGATACAGACTTGTGGTTTAACAGTTTCATTTGTATCATGACAACATAATGTATGCTTAAAACTGATATCTCAGCAAATGAGGATCTTGATACAACACCACCTCACCCTATCGTACCTTCAGACTAAGTATGTATATTCCAGTCACTATCTGAGAAAAGAAGGAATCATACCTCATGTATACAAACACAACTACCCAGCAGAAAAAAAGCAATACTAGTGAAAGGGAGATAACTCTTGATAGAGACATCGAAAGTCGGAGCCAAATACTTTTCGGATTATTGGAGAATGAGGCAAGTGGGCACAAACAGCAGCTACGTCCAACCAGTTTCCTAACCACACCCGAGCACAGTTCGGTGACCTATCAGGACCATATACAAAACAACTTGGGTTTCTGTTACCGCTCCTTTTGGGTTTTCACACAATCCATTGATGTTGAGTGAAGACCTGCTGGAACTGAGTAATGGAGAATAAAACTATAAAGTTAACATTATACATATAATTACTCTTGACGAGGTCAATATGCAAAAGCAAGGATCCAAGGCCCTGACCCCTGAGTTAGGTTGACCAGACCTCGGGCTGGGGTCAGGTCTGAGGGTCCTTGTTTTTGCATATTGACCTTGTTCAAGTAATCACTGGTTTTGTGATACCGAAATTCACTTTAAAGTTTATGAAGTCCTTTATCCATCCTCTGTTTCATTACAGTAACTTAGCTGCAAACTATGAATCTTCATACCCATCTTGTTTTCTAGCAGACGAGTCAAAATTCATCATGACAGGTCAATACTGATCATGTGACAAGTAAGTATTCGAGGTCAGTGTCAGTAACATGATTTCAGGGTCAACATTGAAATGTATCGTTTCGTCACTTGGTACAGATTAATCAATGGAATTTCAAGATTCTTAATAGAGGTATAACAATGAACACTAATAAAGGCTCAACTGAAGGTTCTCTTCCAATGACAGATCAGTAAATCAGAGTTGAGCCTTCAGAATTCTCGGTATGAGTGAGCGAAGCAATCAGACCAGCATACTTGATTTCTGCATCATGAAAAAACCCGAAATCTACAAGTGTTGAATGTTGATACATAAGCGCCATCATATTGTTGTGGATGTGTCATACACCCTGTCACTTTTGAGTTCCATGTGTGGGTTTGGAAGGACATGGATTAAGTTGGCCCAAGCCATATCTAGAGCTCCAGATAAGGTGCGTATCTGCGTAAAATATGCATCAGAAATGCAGAAATACGCAGTAAAATAAAATCCAAGCGTATCAAATACGCAACGAACATTATAATACGCTACAAAAATAATACTTGTGCGTATCATCAAAATATTGTGAAGTAACCCTGCGTATTCGATTAGCAAATCAGCAACTTATTTTGAAATTTTAAACGGGCATTCCTTCAACCTTGCCAAACTCCACGATGACAGTTACATCACGATCATTTGCCTTCACACTTTCTTGTGGAAGTATCGTGGTAACGTCCTATAAAGCTCTTGAAACCCATACGACACCACTTTGCAGAGACTAAATGAATAGTGTTTTTAAATATTTAACTTAAATACGCACATGTGTGAAATTTGAATACCCAGATAGAATTACTGATACCAAATGATTTTAAAATGCATGGGTAAAATACCCACAACACTAAAAGCTTATCTGGAGCTCTGCATATCACACTTCAGAGAACAGTTACGGCTCACATTCATGTCTGCAGCACGACCCTCATATCTTGATAATGTATGGAAACCTTTCCTTCATCTATTACTGCATTTATCTTTAATACCTGACATGATAAATACATGAATTTGAACAATGATGTTTTGAAAAATTTCCCTGTAGCCAGCTACAGTGACCACTCAGAGAGTACATCGAACTGTATTCCCTGTGGGATAAGCCTACAATATACATGTAAGTTGTAGCAGGATCACTCCAGGTGCATAGGCTTTCATGAGTCCTGCATTAGGTTTCATACGAGTGAGTGAGTTGGGTTTAACGCTGCTTTTAACAGTATTCCAGTTATATCGCGGCGTGTCGGCTTAATGTGGAAGGAAAGCCCGAAGTGATGCAGGTCTCAGACGTTTACCACTTTGGTGAAACACACGAGCACGTGTATGGTGCTGACAAACCTAGAAACATAATCGGGGCGAATCGGGATTCGAACTCACAATCATAGGTTTCTGGCATGCCCAAGGGACGCAACTCTGCACAGCGAATCGCGGCACCTTAGACGACTGGGCCACCCGTGCCCCCTGGTTTTATACGAGCAGGAGGCAAGCGGGATGAAACCTAACAAGGGATGCATAAAACTCCATGTACCACGAGTGATCCTGCAACAACGAATTTATCTTACTGACATGTTTCAATATGACAGTGTAAAATAATACAAACAAATTCAATATTGATAGAAAACAGCTGTTCAATTGGTGAGGTAAGCTTGGGCTATGTCATGTGACTTCCATTGATTCAGACAAGCGTCCAGCTTTTTGCTTTGAAGCGTATAAAGGATTTATTCTTCCTCTCAGAAATCCACATGCAGCCTGACTTGCTTGTGGTGGGGTATAAGAGATTTATTCCCTTACTGAGAAATGTATTCCCCTCCAAGGTGGGATACAGTATTTTATCAATATCACGTGGACCAACAGATCTCATCATTCTGGCAAGGAGGTATGATAACTGTATTTCAACACCTATTCTTCTTGAGCCACAAACTCATTACTCTGAACCCTTCTGGCATGAGATAGCATGCACTACCATCTGACATTCACTACCATCTGAAACTCACTAACATCTGAAACTTGCTACAGCTTGCTACATCCCCTCAGACCCGTGAAGAAGAACAGGTCTTCAGTGACCCATACTTGCTGTAATAGGCGACTATGCTTGTCGTAAGAGGCGACTCACGGGATCGGGTGGTCAGGCTCGCTGACTTGGTTGATGCACATCATTGATCCCAATGCGTGGATTGATGCTCATGATATCAATCACTGGATTGTCTGGTCCAGACTTGATTATTTACAGACCGCCGTAATATAGCTGGAATATTGCTGAGTGCGGTGTAAAACAACAAACAAACAAACAAACAAACAAACAAACACCCCTTCAACTACCTACACATGGCACAATTCATCACCAGTCATCATAGCCAAACATACTGATCACAAACGGATAGTTATGAAAATATACTACAAAATATCACAGCTAATCTTACAGCCATTTCCCAGGTAAATACACAGTGCCCTAGTTCACATATTTGCAATACGACAGCATGTAAATGAGACGATGCAGACGCTTTGTGCTGAGGCATTTTAGAAAAACATCTCCTGCAATCTGTATAACATAGGCACTATTATGCAACAAAAACTGAAAGAGGCAAGTCTGATTCAACAAATAACATGTACATCATGTTGAGTTTATAAAAGAAATCTGCCATGATAATGATAATTTCTTCCTGATTTACATGTGTATTAAGTACCAAAACGGTTCTGTCTGTGTGTAGCTACATGTGTGAACCTTCGTTGTACAAGAACTAGGACACTGTCTCTTCATGTCACTGTATGGAGCACACTGAACTGGCTTTCTGAGACCTCTCTCCATTGGCCATGTGCATAGCTCGCTTCTTGTTGCCTGAAACCAAAGAGAGGGGATATCATATACGTCAAGAGCGCCGCGTGTTCCCGATGCTGCTTCTAGTAATAATGGAAATTATCACAAGGTGTTACGGCTTCACAAATTGTATCCCTTTACGGACATTTGTAAAATTGTTTACAAATCTACTGACCCTAAAATAATAGGAAAGAGAAAAAAGAATTAACTGTACAAAGTACTATCTATTTGATTCTGCCATGTTGAAATCACCATTTTGCCCTCAACAATTGTGCCTGCAATAGATTACAACGGAGAAGCCAGCTTCTAAACACAGCACACATGGCAAAATATTCAAAGAGAGAGTGAGGTCTTCAGCGTGACAAGCAAATGTTATAACCACTAGGCAACCGAACTGCCTCTTACCTGGGATATATGCTATAACTTACCCTCAATGTACACTGATTTATCAAAGTTAACTTACCCTCCATGTACACTATCTATCAAAGTCAACTTACCCTCCATGTACACTATCTATCAAAGTCAACTTACCCTCCATGTACACTATCTATTAAAGTTAACTTACCCTCCATGTACACTATCTATCAAAGTTAACTTACCCTCCATGTACACTATCTATCAAAGTCAACTTACCCCCCATTTACACTATCAAAGTTAACTTACCCTCTATGTACACTCTATCAAAGTCAACTTACCCTCTATGTACACTATCTATCAAAGTTAACTTACCCTCCATGTACACTATCTATCAAAGTCAACTTACCCCCCATTTACACTATCAAAGTTAACTTACCCTCTATGTACACTCTATCAAAGTCAACTTACCCTCTATGTACACTATCTATCAAAGTCAACTTACCCTCCATGTACACTGATCTGTCAAAGTTAACTTACCCTCCATGTACACTATCTATCAAAGTCAACTTACCCTCCATGTACACTATCTATCAAAGTCAACTTACCCCCCATGTACACTATCCATCAAAGTCAACTTACCCTCCATGTACACTATCTATCAAAGTCAACTTACCCTCCATGTACACTATCTATTAAAGTCAACTTACCCTCCATGTACACTATCTATCAAAGTCAACTTACCCTCCATGTACACTATCTATCAAAGTCAACTTACCCCCCATGTACACTATCCATCAAAGTCAACTTACCCTCCATGTACACTATCTATCAAAGTCAACTTACCCCCCATGTACACTATCTATCAAAGTCAACTTACCCTCCATGTACACTATCTATCAAAGTCAACTTACCCTCCATGTACACTATCTATCAAAGTCAACTTACCCTCCATGTACACTATCTATCAAAGTCAACTTACCCTCCATGTACACTATCTATCAAAGTAAACTTACCCTCCATGTACACTATCTATCAAAGTCAACTTACCCTCCATGTACACTATCAAAGTCAACTTACCCTCCATGTACACTATCTATCAAAGTCAACTTACCCTCCATGTACACTATCTATTAAAGTTAACTTACCCTCCATGTACACTATCTATCAAAGTTAACTTACCCTCCATGTACACTATCTATCAAAGTCAACTTACCCCCCATTTACACTATCAAAGTTAACTTACCCTCTATGTACACTCTATCAAAGTCAACTTACCCTCTATGTACACTATCTATCAAAGTTAACTTACCCTCCATGTACACTATCTATCAAAGTCAACTTACCCCCCATTTACACTATCAAAGTTAACTTACCCTCTATGTACACTCTATCAAAGTCAACTTACCCTCTATGTACACTATCTATCAAAGTCAACTTACCCTCCATGTACACTGATCTGTCAAAGTTAACTTACCCTCTATGTACACTATCTATCAAAGTCAACTTACCCTCCATGTACACTATCTATCAAAGTCAACTTACCCCCCATGTACACTATCCATCAAAGTCAACTTACCCTCCATGTACACTATCTATCAAAGTCAACTTACCCCCCATGTACACTATCTATCAAAGTCAACTTACCCTCCATGTACACTATCTATCAAAGTCAACTTACCCTCCATGTACACTATCTATCAAAGTCAACTTACCCTCCATGTACACTATCTATCAAAGTCAACTTACCCTCCATGTACACTATCTATCAAAGTAAACTTACCCTCCATGTACACTATCTATCAAAGTCAACTTACCCTCCATGTACACTATCAAAGTCAACTTACCCTCCATGTACACTATCTATCAAAGTTAACTTACCCTCCATGTACACTATCTGTCAAAGTCAACTTACCCTCCATGTACACTGATCTGTCAAAGTTAACTTACCCTCCATGTACACTATCTATCAAAGTTAACTTACCCTCTATGTACACTATCTATCAAAGTCAACTTACCCTCCATGTACACTATTTATCAAAGTCAACTTACCCTCCATGTACACTATCCATCAAAGTCAACTTACCCTCTATGTACACTATCTATCAAAGTCAACTTACCCTCTATGTACACTATCTATCAAAGTCAACTTACCCTCCATGTACAGTATTTATCAAAGTCATCTCCATGTACACTATCCATCAAAGTCAACGTACCCTCCATGTACACTATCCATCAAAGTCAACTAATACTCCATGTACACTATTTATCAAAGTCAACTTACCCTCCATGTACACTATCCATCAAAGTCAACTTACCCTCTATGTACACTATCTATCAAAGTCAACTTACCCTCTATGTACACTATCTATCAAAGTCAATGTACCCTCCATGTACACTATCCATCAAAGTCAACTAATACTCCATGTACACTATTTATCAAAGTCAACTTACCCTCCATGTACACTATTTATCAAAGTCAACTTACCCTCCATGTACACTATCTATCAAAGTCAACTTACCCTCCATGTACACTATTTATCAAAGTCAACTTACCCTCCATGTACACTATCTATCAAAGTTATCTTACCCTCCATGTACACTATCTATCAAAGTCAACTTACCCTCCATGTACACTATCTATCAAAGTCAACTTACCCTCCATGTACACTATCTCTCAAAGTCAACCTACTCTCCATGTACACTATCTATCAAAGTCAGCTTACCCTCTATGTACACTATCCATCAAAGTCAACTTACCCTCTATGTACACTATCTATCAAAGTCAACTTACCCTCCATGTACACTATCCATCAAAGTCAACTTACCCTCCATGTACACTATCCATCAAAGTCAACTTACCCTCCATGTACACTATTTATCAAAGTCAACTTACTCTCGATGTACACTATCTATCAAAGTCAACTTACCCTCCATGTACACTATCTCTCAAAGTCAACTTACCCTCCATGTACACTATTTATCAAAGTCAACTTACCCTCCATGTACACTATCCATCAAAGTCAACTTACCCTCTATGTACACAATCCATCAAAGTCAACTAACCCTCTATGTACACTATCTATCAAAGTCAACTTACCCTCCATGTACACTATTTATCAAAGTCATCTCCATGTACACTATCCATCAAAGTCAACGTACCCTCCATGTACATTATCCATCAAAGTCAACTAATACTCCATGTACACTATTTATCAAAGTCAACTTACCCTCCATGTACACTATCCATCAAAGTCAACTTACCCTCTATGTACACTATCTATCAAAGTCAACTTACCCTCTATGTACACTATCTATCAAAGTCAACTTACCCTCCATGTACACTATCCATCAAAGTCAACTAATACTCCATGTACACTATTTATCAAAGTCAACTTACCCTCCATGTACACTATTTATCAAAGTCAACTTACCCTCCATGTACACTATCTATCAAAGTCAACTTACCCTCCATGTACACTATTTATCAAAGTCAACTTACCCTCCATGTACACTATCTATCAAAGTTAACTTACCCTCCATGTACACTATCTATCAAAGTCAACTTACCCTCCATGTACACTATCTATCAAAGTCAACTTACCCTCCATGTACACTATCTCTCAAAGTCAACCTACTCTCCATGTACACTATCTATCAAAGTCAGCTTACCCTCTATGTACACTATCCATCAAAGTCAACTTACCCTCCATGTACACTATCCATCAAAGTCAACTTACCCTCCATGTACACTATCCATCAAAGTCAACTTACCCTCCATGTACACTATTTATCAAAGTCAACTTACTCTCCATGTACACTATCTATCAAAGTCAACTTACCCTCCATGTACACTATCTCTCAAAGTCAACTTACCCTCCATGTACACTGATCTGTCAAACTGTCCACCTGACAAGTGACCCCTGCAACAAAAATGAACACCTGTACACAAATACATCCACAGTGACCAGCAGGGTTGGTTAACCATGCTTCCAATCTCATAACAAATCAGATATTTTACTGAAGGGCTCTAAATTCTTGGTATGAGTGATCTGAGATTTGAACCTACTGTCAGCAGATCCTGGCACGTGTAAGAGATACAATTCTGCACTTCAAACCATTGAATACACAATGCCATTAAGAAAGTGGTCAAATGTAACTAACGTTACTAAGAAAGGGTTATCCCAAATATAACATTAGTTACATTTGACCACTTTCTAAATGGCATTGTGTATTCATAGCTTTCGGCCATGGGAGCCGTGCCAATTTACACTTGTCAGGGGGGTACTCAAAGTACGTGATCTAGACTACCAGTTGTCGGACTTTCATTTTTTGTGGAAGCCTCGGTGGCTGAGTGGGTTAGATCGCTGACTTTGTGTGCTGGCGATTAGGTGCCTCACCCTGGCAGGTGTGGGTTCGAATCCCGGACGGGACTCAACCCAAAAAAGTACTAGAATCTGTACTTTACTAAGAAAGTGTTATCCCAAATATAACATTAGTTACATAGACCATTGCCTGATATTTTAGCAAAGCATAGTGCATATGTTGTCAAGCAAGAAACATTAACATTCATGTGACTGATGTAAGCTGAGCACTGACTGGTCAGATCACTTCCTGGCCTCTTCCTCACCAGGCTGTTTGATCGGTTGGTTAAAAATAGCCACTCCATCACTAAGCAGATGTACATATAGAGCTCCAGATAAGTTTTTAAGAAATTGAGTTTTTTCTCTAGAGTTTCTATTTTAATTGGGTTATTACATTTTTCATAGGGTAATCAATTTGTTTTTTTCTCATATATTCATCACTCTATTGGGTTTTTCCCACAATTAGAGAACTTTTTAATATTTAAAAAAAATGAAATAATGTTTTAGATGTATATACCTGTCCTAAATATATAGGCTTGACTCGGAAAGTAAATTAACTTGTAATTTTGTTTTGGAAATTAGCTCCTTTGTACGCATGCTGAAAAAGATTCATGGGGTATTTACAAGTGCTTTTTTTAATACATTTGAGTTTTTCATTTAATGCATGCGTTTCTGTTAATTGAAAGTAATTTAGTTTTAAATATTTTTTTAGGGTATTTTACTCAAATATGCTGTGTATTTGCAGCTCTGTTCGCAGTACCGGGAGAAGTAGGACGTAGTGTTTACAAGAACAGCCACCTTCCCAAGGCAAGCGTGTCCACTAGCCTGTATCAAAGCCTAGAGAAATACGACTTTGGTAAATGGGCTAGTGGACGCTTTTGCCTTGGGAAGATGAAGACCGTTAAGTAATGATGATGGATAAGATGTCCTGGAGACACTGTCATGTTTCCACAAATCACACAACAAGAATGCACCTTACACAGTATTGACCGTCAAATCAAATTTCAACATGCCATTATTTCTGGTAACCTGTGCAGCCGAGACGACTATTGAGATGTTTAACCCTTGCACTGATGTTTGTTAGGACCACCACCAATTGGTCACCCTAGTTTAACCTGTTTAAAAGACATTGTACGTGTGACACTGACCCTTCTTTCCCAGCCTTGATGCAGGTCTCGTAGACACCAAACACTGGCTTGTGGTCGGAGTGGCGGACCGACATCACAGAGTCATACTGCACACACTGGACCCAGTTCTTCTTCTTGCACCGAAACAATATACGGTCCTGGAAGTCAAACAACCCCTTATTATCTGTCTACATTCACACTGATGTCGAGTGAGTGAGTGAGTTAGGTATAACGCCGCTTTTAACAGTATTACAGTCATATTGCGGCGTGTCAGCTTAATGTGGGAGGAAAGCCCGAAGTGATGCAGGTCTCAGACGTTTACCACTTCGGTGAAACCCACAAGCACGGGTATGGTGCTGACAAACCTAGAAACATAATTGGGGAGAAAACGGGATTCGAACCCACAATCATAGGTTTCTTGCATGCCCAAGGGACGCACCTCTGCACAGCGAATCGCGGCGCCTTAGACGACTGGGCCACTCGTGCCCCCACACTGATGTAGAAGTATTCCCGACCCGTGAAGATCCGGGATAGAATAAATCTTCTGCAACCCATGCTTGCCGTAAAAGGCGACTATGCTTAGAGGTGTAAGAGGCGACTAACGGGATCGGGTGGTCAGGCTCATGGGCCTGGTTGATGCATGTCATCGTATCATAATTGTGTGGATTGATGCTCATAATGTCAATCATTGGATTGTCTGGTTCAGACTCCATTATTTACAGACCACCGTCATATACCTGAGTGCAGCGTTAAACAACAAACAAAGATAAAAGAAGTATTCCCACAAATGTGATTTTCTGACATCTATTTCTCAATATTTGATACACATGCTAACCTAATAGCAGTGAATAAAAAAATGGTCTGAAACTTTAAGCTCTCTTCCAAATTTAAAGGCAAGTGACATTCCTTTTGGGCTAGTGAACTGATCATGCTTAGCTGACAATAATAAAAATCATAATAATGTACTTCCTCATAATGCAATAAATCCACACCCTCAAGCATGCTCACACTGAGGCTATTTTGTAATTCTGAAATGTTTCCTTTTATCTGTTCAGGTGCTGTGCAAGGCCACGGCTCAACACTTGCTTAGTTATCACACATTGGTAATCACAGAGTGAGTGAGTGAGTTGGGTTTAACCCTGCTTTTAACAGTATTCCAGTTATATCACAGCATGTCAGCTTAATGTGGGAGAAAAGCCCAAAGTCATGCAGGTCTCAGACGTTTACCACTTCGGTGAAACCCCTAAGCACAGGTATGGTGCTGACAAACCTAGAAACATAATCAGGCGAACATGGATTCGAACCCACAATCATAGGTTTCTGGTGTGCCCAAACTCTGTACAGCGAATCACGGCGCCTTGGACAACTGGGGGTTGGTTCCTATAGTATATGACTCTAGGGACCCCCTCAATATGTAACGTTTAACATTGGGGCTATGACAAGGAGCCTTGGCCATCTATGTTTAGTCTCAAACACTGCGCTACCAGTGCCATGCGTATGGACATACCGTGTATGAGGGAATCCTGGATTTGTTAGATGTATCATACTGGTCAGTCTTGATGTCAAACTTGTATGACGGCTGAAAATTTATCCTTCCCTCTTGGAAACCTTGAAATATTTTTCCTGGAAAAAGATCATTCATTCCACATCACACTTATGGTAATGGATAACAAGAAGAACAAATCTGTAGGGTAGGAACCAGAGTCAGTGCGGGACACGGAAAAACAAGGAAGGATAGGGAAGGAAAGACAAGGAAGGATAGGGAAGGAAAGACAAGGAAGAACAAGGAGGGAAAAGGAAGGATAGAGAGAGATAAGGAAGAAAAGACAAGCAAGGATAAGGAAGGACAAGGAAGGACTAGGAAGGAAGGACAAGCAAGGACAAGGAAGGATAAGGACGGATAAGGAAGGATAAGGGTGGATAAGGAAGGAAGGACAAGCAAGGATAAGAAAAGACAAGGAAGGACTAGGAAGGGAGGACAAGCAAGGATAAGGAAGGATAAAGATGGATAAGGAAGGATAAGGAGGGATACTGAAGGATAAGGGTGGATAAGGAAGGGATAAGGAAGGATAAGGTGGATAAGGAAGGGTAAGGTGGATAAGGAAGGATAAGGATTGATAAGGAGGGATAAGGAAGGATAAGGTGGATAAGGAAGGATAAGGATGGATAAGGAAGGATAAGGAGGGATAAGGAAGTATAAGGAAGGATAAGGGTGGATAAGGAGTGATAAGGGTGGATAAGGAGGGATAAGGAAGGATAAGGGTGGATAAGGAGGGATAAGGATGGATAAGGGTGGATAAGGATGGATAAGGAAGGATAAGGGTTGATAAGGATGATAAGGAAGCATAAGGAGGGATAAGGAAGGATAAGGGTGGATAAGGAGGGATAAGGAAGGATAAGGAAGGATAAGGGTGGATAAGGAAGGATAAGGAAGGAAAAGGGTGGATAAGGATGGATAAGGAAGGATAAGGAAGGATAAGGATGGATAAGGGTGGATAAGGAGGGATAAGGATGGATAAAGGTGGATAAGGTAGGATAAGGGTGGATAAGGAAGGATAAGGGTGGATAAGGAGGGATAAGGAAGGATAAGGAAGGATAAGGTTGGAAAAGGAAGGAAAGAGAAAGATAAGGAAGGATAAGGAAGGATATTCTTACTTGAATAGATTGGAAAAAATTTGTCCACTTTGAGAATTTGGCGGACAGACGGACGGACTCTGTTCCGATATCCCCCACCCCACTTCATGGCGGGATAATAATGGTACAAAAACTTTCAGACATTTTCAGATGGTTGACAAGTTGCCTTGTTTTATTCTTACACTTTCTAATTTCTAAACTGATGATGAAGACTGATTTTTCCAACTTCAAGAGAAAATCTTACTAAGAGCAAGACACTGACCCGAGATGAATGTTTGCTTATGTAGTATTGGAATCCTGGGACCCCTGAATTTGGCGCTGTTAACACGAGTTTAATGACAAGAAAGCCCTGAATTTGGCGCTGTTAACACGAGTTTAATGACAAGGTACCCTTTAACTTTATGTTAAATTTCAATCACTAAAATGGATCGGGTGATCAAATTTGTCGACTTAGTTGAATGCTTGTCATTGTACGGAAACAGCTATTATATTAATCACCAGTTTCTCTGGTTTAGATTTGATTAGGCTAAAAAAAATAATAGTCTTGGTTCTTTGGCACCGCCCACATCATCATAAAGTCTGCTGCATATTTGGTTTTTATTTTCATTTTTTTTAAAAATAAAGTAATCATAATACAAAGTGGTCCTATCTAGCACACAGTTACTTCCCTATACATGCACACTGTTTTACTGCGCATCTCATCTTATGGCCATGGTGGCAATTGGACTTTGTATGCTTGTTTATGTAGGGAGGCCCATTCCCAGGTTAGTGGTACACAACTGTTTGGTTGTAACTTGTTTTGAGCAAACGAAAAAATACAAAAAAAACACCGCCCGCCTGCTCTATGTTTTCAAAAGTCATTGTCTGAGTAGCAATTCATTTTTTTAAAGCCTTATTTACAAGCGGCCATGACAAAGCTAGAATATTGGTGACTGTGTCGTCAGACAATAAACATACCTTCCACCATGAACTTGGACAGCTGGTCTCCTCCCAGGAGGTTCTCGTAGTTCTTAAACTGCTGGTCTTCGATGTGGTCCACCATCCCCTCCACTGCAGCCTTCTTCCTCTCGATGCGGAAGTTGAGGTCGCCACTGAAGAAGACGCTGTCGAAGTTGGATGTAGCATCCCCTGTAGCACCAGCAGGGGCAGGGGTGAAATCACAAGGCTTTTTTATGACAACGCATCGTACTCCAACACGAGACAAGGGAGATAACTGACAGGATAAGTCCAGTTTCCACCCTTGATGAACTAGGCTATAATTTCATTGTTTAATTGTAGCGCCACCAGTGGTGATTACAAGTTATGTCCCTCCTACGTCTCCTACTGACCAATCAGATTCCACCCAGATCACTTGCATTTGCTTCAAACAAAATGTCAGCGCTCAGTCAAGACAATCTGATTAATACTCCAGATCTTTATTGTAATAAAATGGGCTTAGTTCAGCAACGATGGAAACTGGAATTTTATGGTCAGTCAACTCCCTTGCCCTGGGCAGATGACCCCAACAGTGTGGGACCTTGTAACAAATGTTTTTGAAATTTGGGATTGCACTTTATTGAACAAATTCAAGTACTTTTTAGGGTGAGACCTCCATTACCATGCCTGGGACCTATCCATTACCATGCCTGGGGCCTATCCATTACCATGCCTGGGACCCACATTACCATGCCTGGGACCTCCATTTTCATGCCTGGGACCTCCATTACCATGCCTGGGACCTCCATTTTCATGCCTGGGACCTCCATTACCATGCCTGGGACCTCCATCACCATGCCTGGGACCTCCATTACCATGCCTGGGACCTCCATCACCATGCCTGGGACCTCCATTACCATGCCTGGGACCTCCATTACCATCCCTGCACCTCCATTACCATCCCGGGACCTCCATTTTCATGCCTTGGACCTCGATTACCATCCCTGCACCTCCATTACCATCCCGGGACCAACATTACCATCCCTGGGACATCCATTTTCATGCCTGGGACCTCCATTACCATCCCTGCACCTCCATTACCATGCCTGAGACCTCCATTTTCATCCCTGGGACCTCGATTACCATCCCTGCACCTCCATTAACATCCCGGGACCTCCATTTTCATCCCCGGGACCTCCATTTTCATCCCCGGGACCTCCATTACCATCCCGGGACCTCCATTACCATCCCCAGGGCCTCCATTACCATGCCAAGGACCTCCATTTTCATCCCCGGGACCTCCATTACCATCCCTGGGGCCTCCATTACCATGCCTGGGACCTCAATTACCATGCCTGGGACCTCCATTACCATCCCTTCACCTCCATTACCATCCCGGGACCTCCATTTTCATCCCCGGGACCTCCATTACCATCCCTGGGACCTCCATTACCATCCCTGGGGCCTCCATAACCATGCCTGGGACCTCCATTACCATGCCTGGGACCTCCATTACCATCCCTGCACCTCCATTACCATCCCGGGACCTCCATTTTCATCCCCGGGACCTCCATTACCATCCCTGGGACCTCCATTACCATCCCTGGGACCTCCATTACCATGCCTGGGACCTCCATTACCATCCCTTCACCTCCATTACCATCCCGGGACCTCCATTTTCATCCCCGGGACCTCCATTACCATCCCTGGGACCTCCATTACCATCCCTGGGGCCTCCATAACCATGCCTGGGACCTCCATTACCATGCCTGGGACCTCCATTACCATCCCTGCACCTCCATTACCATCCCGGGACCTCCATTTTCATCCCCGGGACCTCCATTACCATCCCTGGGACCTCCATTACCATCCCTGGGACCTCCATTACCATCCCTGGGGCCTCCATTACCATGCCCTGGACCTCAATTACCATGCCTGGGACCTCCATTACCATCCCTGGGACCTCCATTACCATGCCTGGGTACCCCATTACCATGCCCGGGAACCTCCATTTTCCATGCCTGGACAACTGTTACCATCCCCGGGGCCTCCATTGCCATGCCTGGGACCTCCATTACCATCCCGGGACCTCCATTACCCATCCCTGGGGCCTCCATTACCATGCCTGGGGCCTCCATTTTCATCCCTGGGACCTCCATTACCATGCCTGGGACCTCCATTTTTATCCCCGGGACCTCCATTTTCATGCCTTGGACCCATATTATCATGCCTGGGACCTCCATTACCATCCCTGCACCTCCATTACCATCCCGGGACCTCCATTTTCATGCCTGGGACCTCGATTACCATCCCTGCACCTCCATTACCATCCCGGGACCTCCATTACCATGCCTGGGACCCACATTACCATCCCTGGGACCTCCATTTTCATGCCTTGGACCTCCATTACCATCCCTGCACCTCCATTACCATGCCTGAGACCTCCATTTTCATCCCTGGGACCTCGATTACCATCCCTGCACCTCCATTACCATCCCGGGACCTCCATTTTCATCCCCGGGACCTCCATTACCATCCCGGGACCTCCATTACCATCCCCAGGGCCTCCATTACCATGCCAAGGACCTCCATTTTCATCCCCGGGACCTCCATTACCATCCCTGGGGCCTCCATTACCATGCCTGGGACCTCAATTACCATGCCTGGGACCTCCATTACCATCCCTTCACCTCCATTACCATCCCGGGAGTTCCCATTTTCATCCCCGGGACCTCCATTACCATCCCTGGGACCTCCATTACCATCCCTGGGGCCTCCATTACCATGCCTTGGACCTCCATTACCATGCCTGGGACCTCCATTACCATCCCTGCACCTCCATTACCATCCCGGGACCTCCATTTTCATCCCCGGGACCTCCATTACCATGCCTGGGACCTCGATTACCATCCCGGGACCTCCATTACCATGCCAAGGACCTCCATTACCATCCCCGGGACCTCCATTTTCATCCCCGGGACCTCCATTACCATCCCTGGGGCCTCCATTACCATGCCCTGGACCTCAATTACCATGCCTGGGACCTCCATTACCATCCCTGGGACCTCCATTACCATGCCTGGGTACCCAATTACCATGCCCGGGAACCTCCATTACCATGCCTGGACAACCGTTACCATCCCCGGGGCCTCCATTGCCATGCCTGGGACCTCCATTACCATCCCGGGACCTCCATTACCATCCCCGGGGCCTCCATTACCATGCCTGGGGCCTCCATTTTCATCCCTGGGACCTCCATTACCATGCCTGGGACCTCCATTTTTATCCCCGGGACCTCCATTTTCATGCCTTGGATCCATATTATCATGCCTGGGACCTCCATTACCATCCCTGGACCTCCATTACCATGCCTGGGACTTCCATTCCCATGCCTGAAAACCGGACCAACTGACTGGTGATCATGTATATCTGCAGAATTCACCTTTACACAATTGAATTCAGTTTATTTACATTCAAAGAAACAGACATTACATCCGTGTGAATACCAGAATTACTGACCTGATCTGGGTGTACCCGTAGAGGAAGACTTGGGCAGTTTAATGCCTTGGATTATCTTCATGTAGTCATTCAGACGCTCTTTCTTCTTGCTCAGATCAGCTGAAACAGTAAAGTAAAGTCACTCATAAAGCCACATGTAAAGTGGCAGTTGAGGAATGTAGGAGGGGCTACTCACATGTAAAGTGACAGTTGAGAAAGGAGGGGCTACTCACATGTAAAGTGACAGTTTAGGGATGTGGGAGGGGCTACTCACATGTAAAGTGACAGTTTAGGGATGTGGGAGGGGCTACTCACATGTAAAGTGACAGTTGAGGAAGAGGTAGGAGGAACCAAATATAGAGAAGCAGCAAGCGATGCTGCCCTTCGTCCGCACCATCGTCATTGCACGGGTTGTCACAAAGTCCTCCTCTGGAGCTGAAATACGCAAGTTCGTAAAGTTAGTTTTTAGTTTCCTCAGGTTTCAAGACTTAGGTGCATCACAATGCAGGTACAAGGTTCATCTCAGTGTGTTTCAGTCATTTTGGACCCTGCAGCTGGCCTACCTGAACAGAACCAGATGAGGTCCCTGCGGATGAAGATTGCGAGGTGGAGTGCGCCATGCGCTGCGGAGTGATACATGACGTGAGATGGCCCCAGGGTCTCCTGGATCTTGATCTCCCACTCTCTCCTGCAACATAACAAAAAGCTAGTGAGGAACTGGTAACATGGTAACACCTAGTGAGGAACTGGTGACATGGTAACACCTAGTGAGGATCTGGTAACATGGTAGCACCTAGTGAGGAACTGGTAACATGGTTACACCTAGTGAGGAACTGGTAACATGGTAACACCTAGTGAGGAACTGGTAACATGGCAACACCTAGTGAGGAACTGGTAACATGGTAACACCAAGTGAGGAACTGGTAACATGGTTACACCAAGTGAGGAACTGGTAACATGGTAACACCTAGTGAGGAACTGGTAACATGGTTCACCTAGTGAGGAACTGGTAACATGGCAACACCTAGTGAGGAACTGGTGACATGGTAACACGTAGTGAGGAACTAGTAGCATGGTTACACCTAGTGAGGAACTGGTAACATGGTAACACCTAGTGAGGAACTGGTAACATGGTAACACCTAGTGAGGAACTGGTGACATGGTAACACCTAGTGAGGAACTGGTTACATGGTAACACCTAGTGACGAACTGGTAACATGGTAACACCTAGTGAGAACTGATAACATGGTAACACCTAGTGAGGAACTGGTAACATGGTAACACCTACTGAGGAACTGGTAACACCTAGTGAGGAACTGGTAACATGGTAGCACCTAGTGAGGAACTGGTGACATGGTAACACCTAGTGAGGAACTGGTAACATGGTAACACCTAGTGAGGAACTGGTAACACGGTAGCACCTAGTGAGGAACTGGTGACATGGTAACACCTAGTGAGGAACTGGTAACATGGTAACACCTAGTGAGGAACTGGTAACACCTAGTGAGGAAATGGTGACATGGTAACACCAAGTGAGGAACTGGTAACATGGTTACACCAAGTGAGGAACTGGTAACATGGTTACATCAAGTGAGGAACTGGTAACATGGTAACACCTAGTGAGGAACTGGTAACATGGTTCACCTAGTGAGGAACTGGTACTATGGTAACACCTAGTGAGGAACTGGTAACATGGTAACACCTAGTGTGAACTGATAACATGGTAACACCTAGTGAGGAACTGGTAACATGGTAACACCTAGTGAGGAACTGGTAACATGGTAACACCTAGTGAGGAACTGGTAACATGGTTACACCTAGAGTGGAACTGGTGACATGGTAACACGTAGTGAGGAACTGGTAACATGGTTACACCTAGTGAGGAACTGGAGACATGGTAACACCTAGAGAGGAACTGGTGACATGGTAACACCTAGTGAGGAACTGGTAACATGGTAACACCTAGTGAGGAACTGGTAACATGGTTACACCTAGAGTGAAACTGGTGACATGGTAACACGTAGTGAGGAACTGGTAACATGGTTACACCTAGTGAGGAACTGGTAACATGGTAACACCTAGTGAGGTACTGGTGACAGGGTTACACCTAGTGAGGAACTGGTAACATGGTAACACCTAGTGAGGAACTGGTAACATGGTTACACCTAGAGTGGAACTGGTGACATGGTTACACGTAGTGAGGAACTGGTAACATGGTTACACCTAGTGAGGAACTGGTAACATGGTAACACCTAGTGAGGAACTGGTGACAGGGTTACACCTAGTGAGGAACTGGTAACATGGTAACACCTAGTGAGGAACTGGTAACATGGTAACACCTAGTGAGAACTGATAACATGGTAACACCTAGTGAGGAACTGGTAACATGGTTACACCAAGTGAGGAACTGGTAACATGGTAACACCTACTGAGGAACTGGTGACATGGTAACATCTACTGAGGAACTGGTAACACCTAGTGAGGAACTGGTAACATGGTAACACCTAGTGAGGAACTGGTGACATGGTAACACCTAGTGAGGAACTGGTGACATGGTAACACCTAGTGAGGAACTGGTAACATGGTAACACCTAGTGAGGAACTGATAACATGGTAACACCTAGTGAGGAACTGGTAACATGGTAACACCTACTGAGGAACTGGTGACATGGTAACATCTACTGAGGAACTGGTAACACCTAGTGAGGAACTGGTAACATGGTAACACCTAGTGAGGAACTGTTGACATGGTAACACCTAGTGAGGAACTGGTGACATGGTAACACCTAGTCAGTGAGGAACTGGTGACATGGTAACACCTTGTGAGGAACTGGTAACATGGTAACCCCTAGTCAGTGAGGAACTGGTAACATGGTAACACCTAGTGAGGTACTGGTGACAGGGTTACACCTAGTGAGGAACTGGTAACATGGTAACACCTAGTGAGGAACTGGTTACATGGTTACACCTAGAGTGGAACTGGTGACATGGTAACACGTAGTGAGGAACTGGTAACATGGTTACACCTAGTGAGGAACTGGTAACATGGTAACACCTAGTGAGGAACTGGTGACAGGGTTACACCTAGTGAGGAACTGGTAACATGGTAACACCTAGTGAGGAACTGGTAACATGGTAACACCTAGTGAGAACTGATAACATGGTAACACCTAGTGAGGAACTGGTAACATGGTAACACCTACTGAGGAACTGGTGACATGGTAACATCTACTGAGGAACTGGTAACACCTAGTGAAGAACTGGTAACATGGTAACACCTAGTGAGGAACTGGTGACATGGTAACACCTAGTGAGGAACTGGTGATATGGTACCACCTAGTCAGTTAGGAACTGGTGACATGGTAACACCTTGTGAGGAACTGGTAACATGGTAACCCCTAGTCAGTGAGGAACTGGTAACATGGTAACACCTAGTGAGGTACTGGTGACAGGGTTACACCTAGTGAGGAACTGGTAACATGGTAACACCTAGTGAGGAACTGGTTACATGGTTACACCTAGAGTGGAACTGGTGACATGGTAACACGTAGTGAGGAACTGGTAACATGGTTACACCTAGTGAGGAACTGGTAACATGGTAACACCTAGTGAGGAACTGGTGACAGGGTTACACCTAGTGAGGAACTGGTAACATGGTAACACCTAGTGAGGAACTGGTAACATGGTAACACCTAGTGAGAACTGATAACATGGTAACACCTAGTGAGGAACTGGTAACATGGTAACACCTACTGAGGAACTGGTGACATGGTAACATCTACTGAGGAACTGGTAACACCTAGTGAAGAACTGGTAACATGGTAACACCTAGTGAGGAACTGGTGACATGGTAACACCTAGTGAGGAACTGGTGATATGGTACCACCTAGTCAGTGAGGAACTGGTGACATGGTAACACCTTGTGAGGAACTGGTAACATGGTAACCCCTAGTCAGTGAGGAACTGGTAACATGGTAACACCTAGTGAGGTACTGGTGACAGGGTTACACCTAGTGAGGAACTGGTAACATGGTAACACCTAGTGAGGAACTGGTTACATGGTTACACCTAGAGTGGAACTGGTGACATGGTAACACGTAGTGAGGAACTGGTAACATGGTTACACCTAGTGAGGAACTGGTAACATGGTAACACCTAGTGAGGAACTGGTGACAGGGTTACACCTAGTGAGGAACTGGTAACATGGTAACACCTAGTGAGGAACTGGTAACATGGTAACACCTAGTGAGAACTGATAACATGGTAACACCTAGTGAGGAACTGGTAACATGGTAACACCTACTGAGGAACTGGTGACATGGTAACATCTACTGAGGAACTGGTAACACCTAGTGAAGAACTGGTAACATGGTAACACCTAGTGAGGAACTGGTGACATGGTAACACCTAGTGAGGAACTGGTGATATGGTACCACCTAGTCAGTGAGGAACTGGTGACATGGTAACACCTTGTGAGGAACTGGTAACATGGTAACCCCTAGTCAGTGAGGAACTGGTAACATGGTAACACCTTGTGAGGAACTGGAAAATGATAAACTGTCCCGAAAATTCTCCCTCACCCCCACCCCACCCCACCCCACCCCAGGAAATCAAATGGTCGGTTGCCAACATAAATACTAAACAAATCCTGTGATTCAGATGTGGGCAAAGGATCTATCAATCCCTACTGGCTTACTTGTTGAGGGCATTCTCCTGGGTACACACACAGTAGATGTCCTGAACATACATGGAAGTCTGCGGCAGTAGGAAGTCGTTGATGTCATCAGGAACTGTCTGGGAAAAAAAGTATCAAATCATTAGTTTCCTGCCATCAATGATGCAGTGCTTGCAATAGCCTGAAACTACTTGAGTGAGAGAGTGAGTATGGCTTTACACTGCTTTTAGCAATATTCCAGCAATATCAAGGCGGGACACCAGAAATGGGCTTCACACATTGTACCCATTTGGGGCGACCCAACCGCCCCTAATGAAGCAGTGCTTGCAATAGCCTGAAACTACTTGAGTGAGTGAGTGAGTTTGGTTTTACGCCGCTTTTAGCAATATCCCAGCAATATCAAGGCGGGGGACACCAGAAATGGGCTTCACACATTGAACCCATTTGGGGCTACCCAACCGCCCCTAATGAAGCAGTGCTTGCAATAGCCTGAAACTACTTGAGACTGAAATACAAATCTTGGTTTGTCTGCACTATTACATTCATAAAAAATGTCATATATTAAGTGCATCCATGGGGCGATGGGCATCATTGATGGATTTACATATCTGTCCAGGTAACCAACCCTATTACCTGAAATTTCTAACATAACTTTAATTAGAGCAACCTCTTTATTTTAATTTTTAATTTGAACATTTTAATGGGAAAAGAGGAATTTTCCAATCACTGATTTTTCTAGATTCCTAGACTGTTAAAAGAACGAGTTTCGAGTGTCTGAAGTCACAGACTCTGACTTGCTGCACGCAGTTTCTCTGTTTTATTGGGGGGCACGGATGGCCAAGTCGTTGTGATTCGCTGTGCAGAGTTGCGTCCCTTGGGCACGCCAGAAACCTATGATTGTGGGTTCGAATCCCGGTTCACCCCGATTATGTTTCTAGGTTTGTCAGCACCATACCCGTGCTCGTGGGTTTCACCGAAGTGGTAAACGTCTGAGACCTGCATCACTTCGTGCTTTCCTCCCACATTAAGCTGACACGCCGTGATATAACTGGAATACTGTTAAAAGCGGCGTTAAACCAACTCACTCACTCTATTTTATTGTTACCTTGATCTCATTCATGTTCCAGGTGCCGACCCAGACATGGACTTCCTTGGAGGGGAAGTACCGCTCTAGCTCCTCACTGCCCAGCAATGAGTGGGTGCTGGAGTTGCCCACCAGGAAGTTCCTGCAATAACAATAACACTGGGAACATTTCACAAAGGACTCTGAGAAGTTACCAGTCCAGATTTTGTTAAGCCCTTGACGTATATTGTGATCACTGCTAGTTTGACATAAAAGTACAACCTCCTCCAACAGCATTAGAAATTGGCACTAGTCCTGTAGGCCTTGCCAAGGTATCCTAAGGACCAGTAGAAATTTGCCATTTCTAAGGATTTTACTATATGTTATCATTATAAGGATTAGTGGACAAAACCTATTAGTTTATATTGCTGTCCACAGTGCCAACAGGTGGCCCAGTCAGCCAGTGTACAGGTAGAGGACACAGTCAGCCAGTGGTTGATAGCATGAGCATCAAACGATGTTGTACAGGGAGAATGAGTGAGTGAGTGAGTTGGGTTTAATGCCACCTTAAAACAGTATTCCAGTTATATGATGGCATGTCAGCTTCATGTGGGAGGTCATTTACCATTCTAGTGACCAGCACAGGTATGGTGCTGACAAACCTAGAAATATAAACAGGGAAAACCTGGATTCGAACCCACGATCACAGGTTTCTGGTGTGCCCAAGGGACACAACTCCACACAGCAAATTGTGGCATATAAGAGTGAGTGAGTGAGTTGGGTTTAACGCCGCTTTTAACAGTATTCCAGTTATATCGCGGCGTGTCAGCTTAATGTGGGAGGAAAGCCCGAAGTGATGCAGGTCTCAGACGTTTACCACTTCGGTGAAACCCACAAGCACGGGTATGGTGCTGACAAATCTAGAAACATAATCGAGGCGAACCGGGATTCGAACCCACAATCATAGGTTTCTGGCGTGCCCAAGGGACGCAACTCTGTTCAGCGAATCGCGGCGCCTTACACGACTGGGTCACCCGTGCCCCCCTGGCACCTAAGACAACACACAGGGAGAATGAACCACCAAATGGTTGATAGCATGAGTATCAAGCCATGTTGTACAGGGAGGAGACACAGAGTCAATCGGTGGTTGATATCATGATATTCAATTTAATTTTTGTCATTTATTTCTTAATTAAATTTTTTTTGTCTAACATTGTTACCTTTCCCTGGCTTGTCGTGTGGTAATAGATGTCATAACACTGGAAGAAGCAAATGATCTCTCGGATAAACAGTCCAGGTTGCTCTGTTGAGATGACATAAACTTTTCTGGATACAGATCAGATTTATATGTTGTCCTTAAGGATTTCGAGGATATATTCTGTCCCAGAGGTGGGGGGCGTGTTTTTGGAGACAAAGGTGGCAGTCTTGCTGAGCGAGGGGTCAGGGACTTTTCCTTGGCATCCATTGAGACAATACTCTCAGAAACAGCCTTCAGATCAGAAACAGATCCCATTATCACCTCTGCCTTTGGTTCACTTACTGAATCACCAAAAGCAGAGTCCGCATTGTCGAATTCTTTATTCAAATGTTCCCTTATTTTTCTTCTTGACTTTGGCACAGCTGAGTCTAGGAATTGTGAATGGTCTGTAGAACTACCTTGAACAATATTATTAGCACCATTGGAATCATTTGCATTCACATTTAAATCTTCAAGACCCTGGTAAACAAGTCTCTTATGTCCTTGATCTGGTTCATCCCCGGAGGAGTTCGGATCCCTGGTCCGTTTCTCTCCTTTTGATGATCCCCTGGCCGACTTTTTAGGGGTAGAAGGAGGTTTGGGCATAAAAGGGCTACTTTTCAGAGATTCAACCGACCCAGATCTCTCAGTAGCCATTCTAAGATTTCTGAATCTGTGTAAAGTTGCATCAGTTTGAGATCCTTGCAAACAATCTTTATCATCATCTGACAAAGCCATTTCACCTATCTCCATTCCGACTGGGGACACACGACCTTCACTGTTTTTAGGCATTTTCCTTGGCTTAGGCTTGGGTTTTGCAGCATCATCACCAACAGGTAGGTTGGGTTTTACAACAACTACTGGTTCTATATAAACATCTCTGGATTCATTAGAAGTGAACACTTCATTCCTTGCACTAGAACTCTTTGAGTGACCTTTTTCATCTGTACTGACAGCTTTCTCCTTCACTGACAGAACTGACCCTAAGTTGCTTTCTGCTTCTGAAACTAGCGATGCACGTCGTTTTCTCTCGGCAAGTTTTGCAAGTGCACCCTTTTTCTTTCTTTTGGGAGTTCCCGGTGGTCTGCCACCAGGCAATGTTGAAGTAACTTCAGCTGTCATCTTGTTGTCAGTCATGGTGCTTATTTCATTCTGACTTGACTGAAGATTTTGCTGCAATGGAAAATAGTGAAAATGGTGTTATTTTTCACATGATATTTTGATGCTGAAACAGTGATCAAAACTTATGAGTGATCAAACTGCATTAGTAATAATAAAATAACGCCTGAGAAAAAAACCTCAAGGACCCCCTAACACTGCCTAATTTCCACCGATCCCGAAAGAAATTTCTGATGAATGAAATAGCAATTTAGTGAGTGTTAACTTAGGCTCCTTAAATTGTTTTATGCTGGTTGACAAAAATATATTTTTTTAAATTGCCAACAAGTACATGGAACACAATTGTGATCATGACAATGATGATTAGTTGCAAAAAGTGAGTAAAGCCAGCATACACTGACAACTAATTGTGTTCATATGGAATAACATGTGTTTACACTGATTCTATATCTTAACACTTCATGACATAAGAAATATGAGTACATACTGGTTGTTATTGTTGTCATCTGTGTTGATAAACTAACTTGTTGTGAGTATTTGTGACCTGTGAATATTGGAATATTTACATTCATTAGAAACATGACAGCTTTAGATTCAAAACAATATACCAGGTGGAGCTCTTAAGTGTTTGGAGTTGAGATAGAGCGTGACATCAACATACCACGAAAATAGGATTCCCACGGAAACACGGACGTGCTAAAAAACAACTTCGTCAGTAAAACTGCTACATAAACAAGTTGACCGACGATTTAGACATCAGAATGACATAGGTCATAGCAACCGTCTAACCAACAGTGCTATATATACTCAGTGTCATTGATCGTGTCAACAACAATGAACGGTGACAGTGGCATCTGTGAAAAATACAAACATTTACATGGCAACAGAAAAACAAACTACAGGGACTGACATGACAGGACAATATTAGATTAAACACATGGACTAACTGTTAGAATGTGACTTTTTGCTTTACAATCTGACGCTAAGAATCTCGGAAACAAATACAATGTCCATAATTACCGATCAGTGACAGAAGTAGTCTGCTAGAGTACGTCGCTTTGTCCGCCATAATGGAATGCGATTGGTGAATGCGCATGCGCAAGTGCTTATCGGTAGGAAGTAGTTTTTACGACATTATCAGTTTATAAATAACTCACCAAACGCCAAAAAGTATGTCTTGTGCTATGTCCGTCATTTTACTGAAGGTTTATTATTGTGAATTTATGACATATAATTTGCTTAGAGTGTATATAATATGTCGTTAAACAATACAGTCCCACAAAGCGAAGACTGTGCAGGGGTTTGCTGGGCGAGTTGTAAAGGGGAATATCTTGGTCATCATATCTTTGAGTTGCGTGTCAACATACACCGATGAAATATTTAATTGTCACACACCACACTTCTACAACAGAACAATTCATAATCTATTTCCACAGTTAAACGTGTTGATATGGGTTATCATAATTCACAGATGTAGTAGCTATATGCTGCAGGGCTTCAATTATGCCTTCAATTGCCATAGAAGCTGACATAAAATATATGAAGGTACACTATATATATCAATATGTCACTTATTGACTGCAATGTTTTGTAAAAACAGTACAATGCCCAATCTCATTAAGATCAGATCTTCGTTCTCGCTTTGTTTAGCGGTAGCGACTAGCGAAAACTAAGATCTGATTTCAATGAGATTGTACAATGCCTGCCCCCGGTCCACAAAGTGATCTTAGCGCTAAGTCGATCGTAACTCCCATTCTTTAACACTGACTTACTACAGTCTATACATCTAATAGTGATCATTAAAAAACAACATGAGGGTGCATATGATAGGGATGAACAAAAGCATCAAAGGATAATGGTTGATAAATATAGTAGAAGCCAGAAATATACAGTGCTGATAGGATAACATTCGAGCGCTGGAGTGTTGTGTTTTATCAACCCATTGCAGGCAGATGAGATGAGCCATCCTTGACCGCTGTTGATTCGTGGCTTGTGTCGGCGGATGTAGACTGCTTCTACTAGTTTCCGTTTGAATTGTGTGAATGGCATATTACTTAGAAGTTAACGGATGACAAAGTAGACACAAGCTATGGATAACAACTTCGTTAATACTGAAGTTTTCGTTTGGCGAAGTCATGGAGATGATAGTAATTTTACTTTGTCCTACAAATGATATATACCGTATTCGACGTAATAATTTAGCGTCCAGGGCGCTCTCAAAATTAGAAATAGGGGGCTCTTATTAGAATATTATTTTGGTGAAAAAAATCAGAGTTGAAAGATAAATTTCGTGGTTTATGCTGACAGCCTGAAATGTTTATGTACGACAGATATATTTTTTCAGAATTTAATTGCCCATAATTAAGGGTGCATATAACACACGAGTGCTTATTGTTCGCGAAAAAAATAAGTCTTGTGTACACTGATCAATCGGAAGGGGTGCCAATTGGGATTGTTCACTAACCAATATATTAGCAAATATCGCCGTGGGCGCTTATTAGAGCGGGGCGCTTATTACATCGAGACGGTATTGTGATTATGACAGCTGAAATGAGGTCTGAGATGGCCGATTTTCGGTCTTTGGGGTAGATGTTTTATGTTCTTTTATTCTGGCGTTTTTTGGGCGTTAGCTTTCACCAACAAACGCATTGGTAGAGGTGATGCAGGCAGAGGTGAGGGGTGATGGAATCTATGGAGAGGCTGGTGTCTAGTCGGCATTCTAGGTCGATGACTCAGCGTCGGAGGATCTGGAGGGTTTACGATAGGGACCATCTTCTCGAGGCAAGGGAGGTAACTGACCATAAAAGCCCAGTTTCCACACTTGCCCAACAAGGCTGGTATTATGGAGTTACTTTTTGGCTGGACAAACGAGTCCATGCATAGTCCAATCAAAATCGCGCACAGAAATCGAAATCCGGTTCGTAAACTGTCGTGCAGATTTCGATCGATTGCAGGATTTGCAAAACATGTGCACCACCAACTCATTGTCAGCAGATATTTTCCAAATCTTTTCATGATTTAAATCAAGGTGCTCACGTGATTTGATACTTTTTGCGATGTAAGACCCGTTTTATCACAATATAGATACGAGAGATGGAATCTGATTGGTCCATAGAAGAGACTTAGAAGGGACATAACTGGTAATAGCCACTGGTGGCGCTACGATCGAGCCTAGTAATTCCAGCCGAGTTCGGCAAGGGTGGAAACTGGACTTTTAAAGTCTGTTGACTCTCTTGCCTCGGGAAGATGGATAGGGACATCAGTGAAGAGGTCTACCACGTTGTAACTAAGGACCTTGATGCAGTTGTACAAAGCGATCTTAGCGCTAAGGTCATCGTAACTCCCATTCCTTAACATAGACGTAGCGCAGTAGTAGCGTTAAGGTTCTTTTGTACAACGGGACCCCGTGATTTTCTGAAGTTTGAAGCAAAAGATAGTGGAAACGGAGATGATCGAGTCAGCTGTTTTACCAAGTGGAGAAAAGATTTTGGTCAAGTGTTGAACAGGAGTACAAATTGTCTCTAGAACAGAAGCAGTCTTGCCTTGCCTGGGTCCTTGCAGATTTTTATTGTGACTATGGCATAATGTGATTGTGGATTGGGTGTTGATTGTTTGTTTTTCAGTTCATGGCTGATGTCATAGTTATCTTTAAGTGGTTGGGTGAATGAGTATTGTTTTACGCCGATGTTTAGCAATATTTCAGCAATATCACGGTGGGGATACCGGGAATGGGTTGCCTTCACACATTGTACCCACGTGAGGAATCGAACCCGTGTCTTCGGCGTGACGAGCGAACACTTGAAGCTCTAAGCTACCCTGCCGCCCCTTGTGGTCTGAGGCTGGCTTTATGTTGGCGGTGTGAATTTTTCAGTGGGGTTTTTCTTGATCTTGCGGTGGGTGGTGGGGTCTCGGGGGATCATATGGGCATGTTGCGGTGTGTTGAGGATCACCGTGGCCTTGGCCACGTCGGCTGGCGCAAAGGTGATCGTTTTGTCAATCAATCAATCAGTCATTGCGCAGGTTACTGATGGCTTGGTTCTCGACAGTTGCCAGGTTGGGTACACGTGGACTGGCTTTGGCAAGGACTTCAGTGTTTATTTACGTTTTTGGAAACATCAAACGCAAAACAGTAGGCTTGGTTAGCCAGTGAAATGACATGGATTCACCTGCAATGTATTTATTTAGGAAATGTCCACCTTCTAAACGTTTGTTTTCTTTCACTTGCCAAAGCACAGGTGTATGCAGATTAATGAGCTTATCCACTATAAGGAAGAAAAACAGCCAAGTGACCAATCAAACAATCTCCACCAATACCGCCCCCAGTCGTACAGTTCAGGAGTACCTCCACGCAGATGGAGACCGCCTCCGTGGTCTAGTGGTAGAGCGTGCGCCCGGAGAGCGGAAGGTCCGGGGTTCCATCCCCGACGGCGTCATACCAAAAGACGTTAAAAGATGGTACTTGTTGTTACCCATAAAGGGGCTAAAGCTAGGACTGGTCGGCTCGGAGTCAGTATACTGTGTCTGAGTGGGGTATTCATGTTAAACTGCGGCATGGTATCTCAGTGAGCTAGCACTATAAATCGGCATCAGTCCGGACTAGTACAAGCAGCCACACACACACACACACACACGTACATGCACGTCGCTATATAAGTGCAATAATCTTGGACGCGACGTTAAACCCCATTTCACCTCACCTTCACGCAGATGGCGGTCTTCTGTAAATTTCTTTTACAATCCTCAAGCTATGTTCGTTACAAACACACCCACTTCTAAGCACCATGAGAACCTTCAATCAGCGTTGGAAAAACGTAATTGCAGACAGCATAAAAATATTATTCCGATTTTGAAAGTTACCCATGTTATATTTGGGATAACACTTTCAGAAAGTACGTGATATAGACTACTAGTTGTCGAACGGAACTCAACCCCCAAACGTACGATAATCTGTAGTTTACAAAGAAAGTGTTATCCCAAATATGTTACATTTGACCACTTTCTAAATGGCATTGTGTGTTCCGTGAGAAGAAGTATTGGAACTGCGTTGTTGCTGCCTGCAGAGCGTCGGTGGTCACTAAAAACGGCATTCTTCAAGCGGCTTTGCAGGTAAGAAAATAATGCACATGATCATGATGATAATAATCTTAAAGACATAGACTCAAAAGACTTTGCTTAACAAACTATTCAGTTATATATTTTACTTATTATTATTACTTATTTTTAGACACCACAGGAATTTGTCACATGTAGGTATTTGTTTATAGTTAATATTAGTTAAAATGCAATTATGTAATTGCAGGTGAACCATACCCACCAACCTATCCCATATGAGATGGAAGTGGAAATCTTTCAAGTCCAAGCTCATCCACCGTGCTAAGACGGAAACAACGCCGATTCCAACCATATACGGAGATGAGATTTCCAGACTTATTTAAAGATATTAGTTATTGTTGTTTTTGTAGAAATTATAATGTACATCTATGAAATATTAAAGTATTAGAGTTATTAAATTTGTTAAATGTAAAGTACTTTTGTGCAACTATATTATACTTCAATATAGCATCTAATAAATTACTACTGTGATTACGGTATACGCATTTCTGTGTTATTCTTGTAATTTGAGAGTCCCGGTACAGCAATATCCCGTGTTTACTGTAGCGTGACCAGTCTAACTGTAGCTTCACGAAAGCGAAGAGATTTTAGAGTTGATTATGGCTACGTTTCGCTCTTCCGGCCCAGAACCCCTATGTGGCTGAGTGGGTAAGGTCGCTGACATTGTGTGCTGGCGATTATGGCAGTGTGGGTTGGAATCCCGGACGGGACACAACTCCCAAAAGTACGAGAATCTGTACTTTACAAAGAAAGTGTTATGCCGAATATATCACATGTAACATATTTAGATATTCAACTTTCAAACTGTTTAGAAACACCCTTTATTTACACGAGAAATAAAAGTTTTAAGAGTTTTAAATGATATACAAATGGCACCTCGCTAACTGCCCGATCTGTAATGACGACCACCCAGTCTCATTTGCATGGGCCTCGTGTTAAGGAATCACTTTCGGAATTAGTTGGGTGATATGAGTGATATAATTATTAATTAGTTGGGTGATATGAGTGATATAATTAGTTTGGTGACATAAAACGTATGTTCCGATTGGCGGGGTTCGGTGTTCTAATATGTTACGTGTGGCGGGACAGCGTTCCCTAACGGCGACCCGTGAAGATCGGGGTAGAATAGGTCTTCAGAAACCCATGCTTGTCGTAAAGGCGACTATGCTCGTTGTTAAAGGCGACTAACGGGATCGGGTGGTCAGGCTCACTGACTTGGTTGATGCATGCTATCGTATCCCAATTGCGTGGATCGATGCTCATGATGTCAATCACTGGATTGTCTGGTCCAGATTCGGTTATTTACAGACCGCCGTCATATAGCTGGAATACTGCTGAGTGCGGCGTTAAACAAACAAAACAATCACTGGATTGTCTGGCCCAGACGCAACATGTCTTTGTCTTTGTTGCTTGCGTTTCCATGGCAACGAGTTGGCCTTAAGTTTTAAATGAAGATAGGGTTCATTTCTGAATCATAGAAAGAAAGAAAGAAAAGAAAGAAAGAAAATTGTTTTATTAAAGTGTCACATGCTGCAGTACTAAATATATGGACATATAAACATTTCATTAAAAAAACAGCACCCGGCCAGTTGGCCTACGAGACACTAATTACATAATGGTACATTTAAAATATTTAAAAATAGAAGGGAAAAATTAGTTGCAACTTTGTATATTACTACACCCACACCCACACCCACACCGATACACCCACACACACATCCGCATTAAAATCCCGCTCAAAGCATTCAAACAGGTAAGCATACAGGACGCTCACAGCAATCTCATACAGGACACTCACAGCAGTCTCATACAGAACACTCACAACAATTTCATACAGAACACTCACAACAATCTCATACAAAACACTCACGGCAATCTCATACATGTCATACATCTATACACATATGCGTCCATATACACACAACTTAATTCATCAATCGTGTATACTAACCTACATGTATAACCAGCATACATACTAACATACCAACCTACATACATACCTATATCCATCAAACATAAATCAATCCGTATTATACATACACAGGTCCATCCATACCTATGTCCGTTCAAACACACCTCAATCCAAATATACTAACACACATACAACCATACCTATATTCATCCATACACATATCGATCCATATATACATACACACATACAACCATACCTATATCCATCCATTCACACCTCAGTCCATATATACATATACACATACAACCATACAAGTGTCGTACAGAATACAGTATGAACATACATTAAATCATAACTCATAGACGGTTCAATGTTTCGACATGAATCTTTGTATACACATCAGTCATGATCTGAACCTTGTCTTGTGCGTATTTTGTTAATCGGGAATTCTATTTTGTTGCGTTTCCAAGGCAAAAGATTGGCCTATGGCAATAACACAAAGGTTCAAATGAGTGTTTCAGGTTGCGGATCATAACTCATAAACCATTCAATATTTGTTGATGAATCTTTGTAACTTAGGGCACATCCAGTAGAAAACCAACCCTTGAGAGATTCGGGGTTAGAATTGTAGATCAACAACTTAGGCTTGTTCTGGGCAGACAGACATATATGTTTATTTAGGTCTCCCTCGCATACATACAACCATAAATCAGTTGGAATAAAATAAAGTAGTATTACGGGAGACAACAATAAGCTTTAATACATACATCCAGCAAGCACATGAGGTATTCTTCACTTTCTGTCAGTAAAACAATGTCGACAGCCTAGGCTAACACATCATCCCGAGGTAAGGGAGGTAACTGATTGTAAAGGTTGAAACAGGACTTATATAACTACGGTTATAACGAACTCAAAGGGACTACTCATTTTAGTTCGTTATAACCGTAGTTCGTTATAAGTACATATACAGCATGACTACAGCAAGTAGTCGGGACCAAAAAGTAAGTTCGTTATATCCGTCAGTTCGTTATAAGCGTGTTCGTTATAACCGTAGCTTACTGTAGTCAGTTAACGCCCTTGCCTCAGAAAGATGAGGCTAACACTCCGATAGTATCTTCTCCATTCTGTATTCCTCTCCCTAAGGTAATGATTGTCTCAATGAAGTTATTCATATATGCAGGTTAAAAAGCAGTTGTTATAATCGGTAGCTATGTTTTAGGCCTCTTTTGACTGTAAACCATGACGTTTAGCCGGTTGACACGAATAGAACACTTGACATTGTGGTATATAGTGACTTGAGGCTCGCAACATTCTCCTTCTCTCTCCACTTCCGTTAAGATATTTACTTACTTTTTTCCTGTCGATCAAATCATATGCTTTCTTTGAGTCTTAAAGGCTGCGCAGAGAGGCGACTAAATGGATAGCATGGACGGATACAGCTTTTTTTAAAAGGGGGTGGGGGGTGGGGGTGGGTGCACAATTAAGACCTATTTATTGTCTTTGGTGGTAATTTATATTTTCTTCCGGGTGCGGAAGCCGGGCTCTGTCCTGGACTGGTTTGCCTGCCCTAGAGCGCTTGGGCTCCTCGTCTGCAGCCGCAAGGAAGCGAAAGGCATGGTACCAGTCTAACTCTATCCGACCTATTTCCCTGTTCAGCATTTCGCTGCGGTGAAACACTGACCCATTTCCATGTAGCGGGTCTGTCTGTCGAGAAGAATTGGGACAGGCCTTCAGCATATCGCTATGCGGAAAACGTTGACCCAGTGACGGTGTAGCGAGGTGTTAGCACTTTTGGACAGCGTGAATATTTGATGTGTCAGGGTACAAGAATAAACATATCAGCATTAGGAAGGTAACTTCAAAAGAGAAGTATGGTCCATGGTTAAAAACAATACGCATTCACAACGTTGTGGGTTTCAATTTTAACACTATCTGCATGTCTCCACTGATATAGATCATTATAACCTAATATTACAACAACAATGAAACTATTATTTTAAAAAGATCAATTATGAAACATATTAATACCTTTACCTCTGTAGATATATCAATGTCAACAGTATGATGTATGACATTATGATTCTGTCAGCTTAATACCTCTTGTTCCTTGGAAACAATCACAAATACATCAGGAAGTCATTGTTGTGAAAACATATAACCAATGCCCCCAACAACCTGTCCTCGTCACTGGAGGCGACTTCATACATCAGGTGGTCAGGCTCGGTGATTTGGTTGATGGTAGGTCACTGTACTCCGACGGCGCGCGATGCTGCTCAGGTATCAATCCCAGGATTGTCTGGTCCCGACTCGATTGTTTAAAGGGCGCTGCCATTTAGCTGGAATGTTGCCGGATGCAACGTTAAACAACAAACTTTATACCAGGGTTGAACTTATTTCATGACTCCGGGACTCCAGCAATATCGTCTTAAACTACAGTAAACTACGGTTATAACGAACTCGAAGGGGCCACTAATTTTAGTTCGTAATAACCGTAGTTTGTTATAAGCATATACAGCATTTATACAACAAATGGTCGGGACTTAAAAATAAGTTCGTTATATCGGCCAGTTCGTTATAAGCGTGTTCGTTATAAACGTAGTTTACTGTATCCACGTGTTTTGAGTTAATAGACTTCAAGATCACCTGGTCCGACTGCATTTGGTTTGCCATCTTTTGATTGATATACTACCATTCAATGATTGATCGTCAGATATCTTGGGGAATGTTATACAAGTTTTCATGTGGAGAGTATTAAAACATCAACACGGTCGTATGTTTCTTAAAGCTTCAAGTAGCTCTCAATAATCCTAAGCAGGAGCAGCTTTGACACTCTATTCCGACTCAATCTTCGACAATTGATTAAGTACATTTGGCCACTCACCCGTGCTGTAATTTTCTTCCAACAGGTTGACGGCTCTTCCATTGTCCTCCCCTTTGGGAAACGTTTCCCAACAAGACGTTACAAATGATATTGTTTATTGGCTGCTGTGTCAGCTGGGGAAACATTTACTTATAGGGCCACAATGGTTAATGTCATGTCAACAAGTGTAAACATGATATATGCGCAATTGAATACCACCAGTTGTAAAGTAACCGACTGTAAATAATGTCCGTCAAGTTAATTGAACAGCCAGCGTCGAGTCGCGTGCTTGCCAACTAAACTGTTTGCAAACTGGCGGTGCTTAGGCGCGGATTACAGTGCTCGATAACGTATGTGCTAGTTGTGAAGTATACGCCCATGTACCTGGTCTAAATGATTTTGCTAATAAGCAATGGAGAAATGGCTAAACATGACGTGACGTTTCACGAAAAACACACTTCTCTTAACCAAGATCGTCTGGTCCAGAATAGGTTACTTGCAGCAGACGACCGATATGACAAAGAAGCGCTGATTGAATTTATTGGAAATTCGTCGAAACCAAAAACTGCCAAAAGTATTAGAGAGAAAAGCGAAGAACTGACAGGCTGGTTACACAGTTCCAAAGTGGCACTTAGGAAACCAGAAAAGGACTCGGTGAATTCCAAAGGAAAGGATGGACCGCGGGAATTTTTGAGTTGGAGAGATTCACGATTGAAACTTACCCCCAACCCCAGAGAAAATTATGTGTTTAAACATTATCAGGACATTAGGTACTATATGAAACAATATCGAGAGGAGAATTCAACATTAGACACCGCATCGCCCCAAGCTCCTAAACGAGTCAGTGCGTTCTACCACCCAGGGTTTTACAACGTGGCTCCTCAACCAAATCGTGAATATTCCAGTTGTCATTTGTTGTCAAAAATAGCCCAGTCCTCGCAAAATGGAACTTTTCAGTACACCAGACGGGATAGTCAAAAGTTTGATAAACCTTCACTGGTTCCCAATTTATACAAACTAGTCTCAACTACCGCACGCGCTGATTCGGCATCTTCCAGTGAGAACGAAGCAAAAGGAAATACTGTACCTCGGAATACATCAGCGAGTGGTACAAGATCTAAACCACCTGCAACCGCAGGTAAAACTCCCACGAAAGTTAGCGTTCCAACACCTCACAATGCGATATCAAGTGTCCAAAGCAAGCTATCAGGTTCCAACGTCCCGGGGTAAGTGTGCTCTTAAACAGACGCCTGGTTGTACACCTTTGTTGAAAACGTAAATATTGTACATGCTTGTTAACATATAACATTAAGAGTATAAATTTTCATACCCCAAATATACCATGTATACGCAGGTCGGGGATGCGGTCAGAGAGAGAGAGAGAGAGAGAGAGAGAGAGAGAGCAAAAACAGTCCAGCTATTCGTGCTTATCAAAACTCCTTTATCCAGTTTTGACAAGCATGAATACCTGGACTCTGTTTTTTTTACTATATTTAATACTTATACACCTGATGAAATCACTTGTTTATATATAGATATAGGTAAACTGTATTTCTAACCCAACAAAAACATCGTTTTGTGATATGTTTTTTAATAAAAGACCAGTTGAACTTTTTAAACATGTAGTGACGAATACCTTAATAACAGTGTCACGGCTGCCGTGTGTGTGTTTCACCTGTGTGTGAGATTGTTGATTCAGATAGTTGATGGAATGTGACCTTTTAAACCAGGATTCTCACAAGGGCTCCATGGGGTAATACTCAAGTATATCATTGATCGTCATCTAGCCTTGTCAGGAAATGTGTCCTGAGATAGTCTTTATATTGGCCCTTGTAAAAGCAGATAAACAGGTTAAGAAATCATTGCCAATACGGGGATTTATCTGGACCTGCTCAGAGGCCGATATTTAGCCCCACGTCTGCATCAAATGACAGTGAAAATTCCCAATTTATATATGTATATATATTATAGTATAATATATTTATATCCCGCAGGTATCCAGGTACTAGTATCTGCTCAAATGTGGTTTTATTTGTTCCCCGACCACCGTTTGCATTCCAGTTATCATTCTCAACTCCCTGGGGAGTATACAACCCAATGGCGCGAGAAGGTCGCCATCCATCGCAAATATCGGGTACCCATTCCCTGCAATTTAAATTAAACGTTTTCCAATTACTCAGAATTTATAATTATAAGAACATTAAAACAAATCAGATTTTGAACAATATCCTGCTTTTTTTCCTAATTTGCCTGCCAAAGGCACTTGGTGTGGAGGGGCGGTCGGGTAGCCTAGTGGTTAAAGCGTTTGCTCGTCACACCGCAGACCCGGGTTCCATTCCCGACATGGGTACAATGTGTGAAGCCCATTTCTGGTGTCCCCCGCCGTGATATTGCTGGAATATTGCTAAAAGTGGCATAAAACCAAACTCACTCACTCACTCACTTGGTGTGGAATGCTAGATAAATCCCTGCGATACAAGTAAATGTGTCTGTGCACTGTGCTCTTTGTCTGCCATTCCATCAGCTGTATCAAACCCACTGATTCCTGTGTGTATGGGTCACAGTTTCTGGAACTACCCTTGCTGTCTTGCCTTGTCAAATCCCAAGTGAGGCTATGTCAAACATCTATTGATCATCGGTCATCTTTGTGTTTCCTTTGTCCATCGTCATCTTACAAAAATAGTTTGTTTCAGGTCATTTTAGATTAAAATTAATACCAGTGACGCCAATGCTGGGTTACGTTTCTTAAAAAGTTCAAATATTCTTGTCCGCAACATTTTGTTGCCACCTCGTGATTATTGTCACAGATCTCAAGGATAGAGGAACTTGATACTAATGAACTCTCATACTATAACATTACAACATTGAATTTTAACATTACATTCAATGCAATAATATTAAACTAAGCAGCAAAAGCCATTTCCTCTGTAATGGTCCTGTTATCAGTGAAATACAAGACACTGCTACAAAGCCATATAACATTAGTTATGACACAAATAGCATAAATTGGAAAATGTTTTATTCCAGTTTTTTTTTTTTTTACTTGGGATCACAGTCAAAATAAATCCCTGGTGATGTCATGCAGAGCTACAGATCAGCTGCATATTTGCGTAAAATAACCATCAAAACTATCTAAAACCCAATTACTTTCAATCAACTTGTGTACAGAAATGCATGCATTAAATGAAAAACACAACTGTTTCAAGACAACAAGCATGAATACCCAATGAAGCTTTTTCAGCATGTGTACAACGGAGCTGATTTCCGAAACACAATTTCGTGCTAATTTACTTTCCGAGTCAAGCCTATATGTAGAACAGTTGTGTACATCTAAAACATTACTTCATTGTTCGTTTGAAATCACAAAATGCTTACTCATTTGAGAAAACCCAATAGAGTGATGAAATGACGAGTGAAGAAATATTGGTTACCAAATGAAAAATGTAATAACCCAATTAAAATAGAAACCTTCGAGTAAAAACTCAAGTGCTCAAAAAGTTATCTGATATTAAAACAAATCAATTTGTCAGTCTTCAGGTTCTTTCAGATGTACTTGTATTGGCTGTTCATACACCTGTCAAATGTTGAACGGTTACTGTAATAGATTATCAAGCCATCAGTGCCCCGGCCACCTGCAGACACACTTATTACACCATCTATTATTGCCGTGACTGGAAGCTGTTGCAATTGATTGATGAGACAAGTGCCATTCAAACAAGTAAAATAATAACTGAAAGGGTATGTGGGTTAACTTCACTTACTGCTGGTAAATACGGGGTGTATACACTACCCCTTGTCAAGAACCCTGCCATTGTTGGAGGACCTTGAAGCTGGACAAGTATTTCAGTTATCAGCTTTATAGTAAGTAAATTGGGTTAAAAGCTGGGCTTGCTTTGTAAAACTAGGTTTGAAGTACAAACACACAGTCATTTCTAAGAAATAAAGAAAGTCTTATCATTATTAGGCAGGTTCCTTTTCTGTTCGTTTTCAACCATTCCAGCGAAATGGTGGCCCGTAGATAGTCATGTCCGAACAAGACGATTCAGTGATTGATGTTATGAGCAACAAGTCACACCACCGTCGAGTTTTGTTGACACACACTCTATCAAGTCTGCTCCTATGACTAACTGACAAAGTAGAGAAAATTTATGGATAACAACTTTTTTATTTACCGTAAAGGCAAAACTTTCAGTATAGATCCTTATTCAGTTGTCAAGTTGTTATCCATAAATTAGCTCTACTTTGTCATCCGTCAACTTCTAAGTAATTCCTATCAAACAATTTATTTCGAACTGATCCATTACGTTACCTCTTATGACCAGCATAGATTGCTGGGGAACAGTTCTAACCACAAATCCAAGACTTGCAGTACAGGCAGTACCGTATTCGACGTAACAAGTGCCCAGGGCGCTCTCAAAATTAGAAATAGGGGGCTCCTATTAGAATATTATTTTGGTGAAAAAAACAGAGTTGAAAGATAAATTTCGTTGTTTATGCTGACAGCCTGAAATGTTAATAATACGACAGATATATATTTCCAGAAATTAATTGCCCATAATTAAGGGTGCATATAACACACGAGTGCGTAGTATACGTGAATAAATATGTCTTGTGTACATTGATCAATCTGGAGGGGTGCTAAGTGGGATTGTTCACTAGCCAATATATTAGCAAATGTCACCGTGGGCGCTTATTAGAGCGGGGCGCTTATTACGTCGAATACGGTATTTGAATTCAATGACTCTACCATTTAAGATTTTGTGGGGTACCCAGTTTCTCATGTAATGACCACGGAAAAGCCTTTAGTTCGCACACTGCTTAGTTTTGTTGCTCATGAAAACTGTCTAGTCAGTCCCAGATGAATTCTGAGGGAAAATTATCAAAATTCTGTGGCTAAAATTGCACAATTCAGTGGTACATTCTGCAGTAAAACATAACCATTTCCCTCTCAAAAGGTAATATTAACAGATGTTTTCCTTCAAAATATTATTCTCTTGCATTTAGACATTTCAAGACAAAATTGTGCAAATAAATATAGTATCACTAAATTTTATTTTATTGTTTGAAAATATGAAAAAATAAGTGTATTGCTTGATAAAATAAAGGCAGATTTTTTATTTTTACTGCAATCATGTAGGAAGGTACATTTTCGGCAACTCTTTCCAGGGTTTCCCCTGACGCAGAAGTCTTGCGTATATGACTCTCAATTAAGGAAAAATACGTCCAGAAATAAATGACTGCGTCATGACTGACGCAATTTCAAAATATCTATGTTGTTGTTTGCCAACTACTCACCTGAACTTAATTTATCATGTTTATTAACATTTTCCGAAGACAATATATGCAAACGTCTTAAAATATTTTTGTCTCCCAAATATTCATAGGCTGAATCAAGGTGACTCTCAGATATTGGAGTCTAGGGGGAACCCTGTCTTTCTGCAATCGCAGAATCACAGAATTAGTCTGTGACTGTTTAATGGGTACAAATTGTAACAATTATTGACACAACCAAGGACATTCACAAAACATATGACATGTTCCATACAACCACTGAAAGGACATTTTCATTTACAAAATTTTAAAGTAAAGGTTTCTGTGTTTTAATTGAACCAAATTGTCTCAATTTGTTCACATCACTGACAACTGGAATTGTTTTCTTGATTAAACATGTAATGTTTGAATAACCAGAATATAAATGTTTGGTTGGTTTGTTGTTTTACGCCGCACTCAGCAATATTCCAGCTACATGACGGCGGTCTGTAAATAATCGAGTCTGGACCAGACAATCCAGTGATTAATTTCATGAGCATCGATCCATGCAATTGGGATCGATGACATGCATCAACCAAGTCAGCGAGCCTGACCACCCGATCCCATTAGTCACCTTTTACGACAAGCATAGTCGCCTCATACCGCAAGCATGGGTTGCTGAAGACCTATTCTTCCCCGGAATCGAATATAAAAGGTAGAGAGTGTATGACAAAAGCAAAACTGATGAATGACTCTGTCACTGATTCTTAGATCAACCTAAACATTCCAGGTCCACATGTGAAAGTTTGATGGGGTCCTTTCAGGCTGAGTGGAAATGTACCATGTTATGGTTAGGAAAACTGGAATGTGTTATGCATATTAGGTATCGTGTTAACATGTCTGACAATTAGCTTTTTTTTCTTATGGTTGCAATATTTTTGTTTTTGACCTTATGGTGTGCGTAAAATGGCGAAAA